AATTGTTGTAAAATACAGATAACATTGAGTTGATAATATATTGAAGTTAATAAAAAAAAATAAAACAACAATAATGATAATAATAAAAGAATATACAAATAGTAGAATACTAGATTTAGTAAAATAAAAATAATTTTTGTTCATCATTAAATTTAAATCTAATGGAAACTTTAATAACATGAAGCAACAATAAGAGAATTAGTTATTGTTATTCTGTTTCATGACATGAAATAACTACATAGATATATTCAAGTGTTTCTCTTGCATTTATAACAATTATAATTTCCCCTTCCACATTCTCTTGATTAGATACCTTTGTACTACCTTTGTATATATATACATAAAGTCTCTGTCTATATATGAGCATACTCTGATGTATAACATAACTTAGTGAGAAATTTGCATTAACATCAAAATGTTCGTTAGCGCTAATTGAATTGACAATTAATCGATTCTCTAAATTTACTATTTACACATTTTGATTCTACCAACAAGTTATATATTATTGTCTATTTTAATATAATTATTTGCTTCACTAAATATTTTAATTAATTTTATCACAATAGTTATCGAATTAATTATTAATCATATTATCTTATCTGTCTATTAATTATTTTATTATAACACATTTTATCGTTATAATGATTTATTTTAAATAATAATATCAATATGTTAAATATAAAATTCATTTGATCTCAATTATTTTATAGACATTAGAGAATAATATAAAGTTTATAAATTATAATTATTCTGTAGAGAATAATTTGAGAATAAAAACATTTTATAACTAGAACGTGAATTTAGTAGACTTCATAAAGTTTAATACTGATTTAATTGTGTATAAAATATCAGCAAAAAAGACTTCCAAACTTCTGTAATGTGCAAACCTTTTAATTCACCATTAGATAATATTGGATGATTTTATTTTATTCTTTTTATAGTTATGTTTTTTTTTCTACTCCAAAATAAAAATGAAAAAAAAAAGAGGTGTATTAGGCATTACTTGATGTTAACAACATGACATTTTTCAAGATAATTTTTTTCTTCAATACTAAAAGCAAAATAAAATATGACATTTTCTAGTTTTCTCTTATTTCTGTATATTAATATAGAGCAATTTGTGGGTAATTATCCCTTGCATCAGCAACCACAAAGAGCAAATAAGTCAGATCAGAAATAAAGCAATAAAGTTTCTGACGTCTTCGAGAATATAATAATGTTTGCCAGTTGCCATTTTATATAAGCAAAAAAAGAAAATATAATAATAATAATAACAATGATGATGATAAAAAAAAAAATATATTGAAAGAATGTCTACAACACTCTCTGACACTTGAATCGTTTTTCTTAACTTGAGACTTTGATTGGAGATCTTTTCTTTGATTTCTACCAGATCTCATTACTCATTTCATAGATATCACAAACTCTCTTGATCAATTCTTACTTCATGGAAGTTTCAAGAGCATCATTTATTTTTAGTAAATACATGAATAAACTTCAAATTCATACTCTCTGGTAAAAGCTACTGAATCAATAATCACCAAGTACCTAAAGTTTTCTTGTACACTATATTAAAGCTTCATGTTGTTACATCTATTTACAGATTAAGTTATAATGACATTAAATTAAACTACTTAAATGCTTATAACTTTTTCATTGTTGTATTTTATGTCATACTTAGAAAATGCACTGATAGCAGAATTTAGTTAGCATTTATATATATATTTATGAACAAATAAAAAAAGTTTATTTTAATCAAAATCATTTTATTGTGCTCCATGAAATTTATTATTATTTTAAATAAATATTTTTTAATAATTATTAAGTAAATTTTTACATCTAATAATTTATTATCATTATATTTAATATTTGATATCAAAATTAATTTAAATATTTGGATTATTACTATTGTGTGTTAAGCTTTTTTCCCAACAAAAGATAAATTTAAGTCTGGATGGGATTGAAGTGAGCTTTAATAATTCTATAAAAGGCAAAATTTTATGAGAATCTTAATCCTATTGAGCTTTTTGCCTATTTAATATATGTCATGTCAGATTCTTTCTGAAGTCAAATAAATATTTATCAATACTTAAGAAATATTTATTCCACTTAAAAAGAATCTTTTTAAATAAATAATTTTTTTTTTTTCATCATGATTTTTATTCTGACAAATTTAATAACAATATGTTTTTGTTTGTATCATCATCATCATCATAGAATTTTTATAAAGTATTATTCTTTATTATTATTTGTTTTTGTTTTACAAAAATCATAAATCTCTTGAAAATGAAATGGATGGCTTAAAAATGTTTTGATGAAAAGTTTTATTCTATCCAAACTAAATGAATAATAAAACTAGGTTATTTGCAATTTTAGTAAACATATTTGCAGAATTATTAAAACATTTGTCAATTGAATTATTCATTGGAATCTTTTAAAAGACTCCAAAGCAAGATCTGATATTTCGAATTAAAAAAAAAATAATTAGTTATGATGAATTCTAGTAAATAATTTTTTAATCATCATCATGGAAGATTTGACAAAAGAAAATGTATTCTTGGCAAACGAAATAAAGGATGTAAATAATTAATAATCAAATTATTTTCTGATGTAATGTAATTTCAAATGATATAAATTAATTTATTTATCTATTCACTAGCTATTGTATTCTGAATTTAACTTTTTTCTTTATACCTTTTTTCAATTTATATTCCATTTTCATAACCAAGTGAATGACTTTTCCATGTACATCACAACTTACCATTTGCATTTTCTTTCTTCAAACCATATTAACTTCCACATGAATGAACTTTAGAGTTGATATTCATTTTTTATTAAAGCACAAACATTATTATACTCCAAGATCCACCAGTCAAGTACATAAAACAAATATTTAGGCATTATAAATTTGAATCAGTTATTTGTTAGCGTAGGTGTTGAGGATGTCTTAGCAGCTTCCTCTGTAATTGTTGGCTTTAAAATCCAAGGCAGTGGCACGACGGAAGTGCTTCACGCCATCAAAAGGATGTTACAATTAATGTTGACCAGGGCTCGTTAGCACGTTTCCTTTTTTCTTCTTCTATTATACTGGCAACCACTATATTTCTCATGATATTATACAAAGTGTCATTATCAGATTTAATTCGTATATGCAAATAACATGTAATACCTTTTCACAAAATAATAATAATAAGACAAGTCATATTTTTTAACATATAAAATTGACAAGATTATTTCAAAATAAATTCTATTTTTATGGAAGAAAAGCTTTATCTCAATTAAAATATCATAAAAATGATAAATAAAAATAAAAAAAATAATATAGATATAGTTGAGAAACAATTTAGATATGAAATCATTCAAACGATATAATATTGAATGAAATCAGAGATGAAGGTAAAAAATAAATTTTAGACTGATAAAATAATTTTTTTTTTTAAATTAAACCTTAGATGAGAGGAATTATTTTCTGTATGTATGGATAAGTAATATTGACTTTGATATATATATATATATATCTGTTAATTAGACATGTCGAGAATAGTATGTTGGACTTATTGACATTTAGCTCAAATAAGAATGAAAATTCATTTAAATAGAACTTTTAACTCTTGATATGAGATGTCAGTGACGAATAAGCGATTGGATTGAGGGAAAAAAAGGACAGATGAATATATTGAAATTGACGTATGAAGTAAATTTAAATAACTTAATAACTCTAACAACGTCGTGATACTGTTGTCGTTCAATGCAATGACACAAGTAGAATTTAGTTTCTATTTCATTTTCATGAGAGTTTAAAGCATCCAGTTTCTAATTCAAATTTCAAGAAATAGGTCAAGTGAATTAAAAATGATCATTAAAATAATTCCAGAGGAATAACTTGATAATGAATATCATTATTGACTAAATAAATCATTTACTAAAATACAACAACGAGTTAACTAATTAAATGTTCATTAGAAATTATATTCGTTATTATACATGTATTAATTACATTTTAATTATCATGACTTTATTAAATATTCAAGTTTAAATTATACTTAATTTTATATAAACCATATATTTGAGTTAGGTTATGAAGTATCATAACATTTTATTCATTCATCTACTATCAAATGAACACTTCAGATCTATCCTGTATAGGAAATTGTTCAATAGTATTTTTATATCAAGTTGTTTGTTCATTTAAATAAATTTAAACTTATTTTGTTGTTATAAATTATCAGTGTTATCTAGTGTATCCAACAAAACAGTTGTCAGTAAAATTCTTTTGTCTTTGTGATAAACACATGAGAGAACTTTGAAGATACTCCGACTTTAAAGTTTTATTCCAATATCCATGATATATTTGTTCAATATTATTTTATTTGGAACTTGGTAAGCATACTTGTAATGAACTTGACAAATAGTTAGAAGGAACAAACGAATCAGATGTTTATTGACTGCTAGCCAAGCACTTGAAAGTCCTTTAATGGAGTTTATTTGTTCGATAAAAGAAAAAAAATTTAAAAAACAGCCAAAGTATGTTAGAAAACAGTAAAATTTTATAGAGGGTATGAAAGAAGGTTTAAAAAAGGCTGAAATAAAATGATTGAATGATAATTTGAATTTTTTAACCAATGTGATATCAATTACTTTTTCGATATATATCGATTATTGACTAACTTCACACGCTCATGTCAATTTATAATCAAGAAATGTGTGTATTTATTATTATTTCCAATATGTTTATAGCAGTTTGGTATTTCTAGATGTTGTACAAAAATAGTCTGTGTTAAAAGTATTGTACCTTTAATGAAATAACAATATTACTCGGACGCTAAATAATAAAAGATAACCTTACTTCATTTCAAGAATATTCAAATTCTATGTATCATTTTCTCTTATTATGAACTCTTTCAAAATAAATCAACTATTTATTTTGAAAGAGTATGATTAAATGATGAATATCAAACTGAAGTGATGCAAAATAAAAAAAGAGTTAATTTTTGTTGCAGCATGGACCATGTAGATAGTTGGAGTTTACTAGTAGAAGCATCAGGACTGTTGAGATCTAAAGTCCATCTAATTAGTATACAAGAGAATATCTTCAGAGAGCAAAAAAAGTATCGAGGTGCACTAGCAGTTATTGGGGGTGGCCGGGTTATCACCGGTACGGTGATGCGACGATGAGTCCGGTGTGTATGTACGGGCTGTTAAAGCGCGTCACCCGACACCCCCATTGTCAATTATTCGTAAATCGAGACGCGTTGTTGCTGTCAACATCATTATTATCATCATCATCATCATCCTCATCATCATTATCACCATCATCATCACCATCACTATCATCATCATCGTCGTCATTATTGGCATCGACATCAGTACTTGCACCGTTCAACGATTCCTTATTGAAAACTAGGCCAATAGTAGTCACACGGCCGACAATTGAATGGCCATGGATCTCGAGAAAACAAGGAACGGCACTGGTGATACCGACGACGATTACACCAATATATATTTTATCGTCGGTGATCGAAGAGAAATTGCCAGTTTTCGACCTGATCAAGTTACTAATAAAGAACTTAAAGGTATGGACATTTTTTGAAATATTCTTTCTAATCAACGTCATTCAGACAAAACTCTAGGTAAACATCTTCAACATTCTTACACAATCATCCTAAAAACACATGAGTGTTATTGGTTTCGACTTTTACACTGATTCTGTGATTAGGATATGACTGAAATGATCATCATCAGCTTGGAACCATCTTGATTACATAAGCTTTTTAATAAAACAAACTACATTCAAATCGGTTCAACTGTTTGGAAGCTACAATGCTACAGACAGATACACAAATATAAGTTTCAACTTATAACATCTCTCTTTTTGAATCAGAAAAAGAAGGGTTTAATAAAAATCATTCAGAGACAGTGGAAAAACTATTTTACATTGAGATTAATTAAAAGTTAAGAGAAAGTAATATTTTATTAAATATTTTTATTAAACTCAATATTAAAAGAAATGATGAAAAATAAAAATAACAATAAACATGAATATTGAATAGTATTTTTTTTATTATATAATCAAATTTTTTACGGTATTGTGTTGTGATTTTTTGTACACAATGGAAATTGAAGTTTATATTTTGAGTAATAGTTGAATAGATTTTGTAGAGAAAAGATAGGTAAAATTACTACCAATTGTATTTTACTTTCCAATATTTTTTCATCTCTTATTTGATTTAGTTTAAAAAAAACTTTCCTCTAATCTCTATTATTTAATCAAACATTTAACTCAGTCTATCATATAAATTGATATCATGTCATTCTTCTTTTTTCTTCACGTCAATTATTATTATTTGCATTTTTTAAATATGATACATTTTCGACATTCTCTTGATTAATATCAGATGATAAAATTCATCCTGGTAACCGCATTACTAGTTTCATGTCAAGAGAAATGTCATACGATAGTAGTATTAATTCCACACATCAATTTCCATTGATTTTTATTTTTTTTTGTTGAGTGACAATAAAAGTGGATAATTAAAGAGAAAGGGAGATATTTGTCTATTTCTGCCATGAAAGCTCTTACGGGTCACTGCTTCTGTATTTGTCATTCGATATAAATGAAGTACTACAAAGGGAAATTTATTGCATATTCATTTGAATTATTTTGATCATTTTAAAAACATATTATTATTTTTATTGAGAATATTCACTAATATTCCAGTGCACTGAGTAAAAAGGAAAACACAAACATCATTTTGCAAATAAAAGTCAAATTTATTTGACAATGGAAGTAAAATTTGCTCCTCATAGTGAGATGAGAAAAAATGACTTAATAAAGTTGATTTATTAATAGACTTGAAAAATAAATAACTATAAGTTAAATATTATAAGAAAATAAAATTTATAAATCATGAACATATATATATATATATATTCATTCTATGCAAGCAATGATATTGGTCTCAACAAAATAATGAATAAATTGACCCAGGGCGAATAATAAAAAAACATAATCGTTCACCATACGTTCATGATTCACGAAGTCATTATTCCATTAGAAGCAATGAAAGACCGGCAAGATAACCAACGAGTCTCTGAGGGCTCCTCCATTCGGAAGTCTCCCTCAAGATCGGACACTGAGTCGATTAAATCGCCCAGCAAGTAGTTTTGTAGTCATGCTTCTATGATATGCTCGATGACGACAATCAAGGACACTGGTCCCCTCTTCTTATTCTCTACTTCTATGTCGATATTACTTATGGTTAATTGCAATTATTCTACTCGATATTCGTGACTGATCACATATTCAAGTATATTAACCACTTTTCATAATGTTTTTATTTCTCTCTTCCAATTCTTATTCTACTATAATAAGGATTGAGTTAATATATCCAATCATTCTCCCAAAACTACTTCTCTTATTCTACAAGAATAAGTAAATTAGTTGACTTGGTCAATTAAATGCCAGTAATATTTTCAGATAATAATGAAAGTCGTGATATTGTCACCTTTTTTTTTTATCAAATATTTTTTATCAATTGAATTTTATACATTTACATGACGTTTGTTTACTTTATTCATTTCTACTCAATATTCAATTATTGAAATGATATTCCATACATTTGATTAATTTAAAGTATGTGATGAATCAAAATTCATATTATGAGATATTCAGTCATCGTTTTTTTATGGTATTTAAATAGTTCTTTATTGATAGTAAAATTTAATAATTTTAAAAGATTAAATAATTGAAAATATTTTGAAGTAAATGGAGTTTTTTTTTGTTGTAATATAACCAGCCATCTCAAGTATATCAGCAAGTTTATCATTTTATCATTAGTATGATATTAATCTTAACTGATGAGTGATATTTGACGTAGTATAATTCTGAAAGCTAGACAAATTACAGGAATATTTTTAAAAAAATATCTCTTAATTATATTTATAATGGTGTGTAGTATGGGGAAAAGTAGCACAGAATGACTCCAATGAACAGCTAAGAGACTCGACCTTATTCCATATCTTTTTATATTCTCTCATTCTTATCTTGAAAATGGAAAAGAAATTCTCAAAGTCTGTGACTTCTTCTTATTCTTCTATTTTATTTAGGACACAGCATTTATTTTTCTATAAGTGTATATAGTGTAACATAATATCAAAAATAAAAATCCTAACACAAGTAGAATCATACTGTTGAATTTTTTTTTTTTTTCTTAACACTTTATTCTTGTAATATTTGCTTAAGAGAATACTTGAAACTAAACAGTAAATTTCACTTTCCTTTCTGTTACAGAACTTTTTAGAAGTGCAGCAGAGGCTGGTCCTCTGGACATCGTAAAACTTCGTAAAGGAGATAAACTTTTGAATATATCACCTCAATTGCCAGCAAATACATCGGATACACCATACGTGCTCCAGGTAATACTTGACATCATCATCATCACCATCACCATCATCATCATCCATCATCAACATCATCATCATCATCATCATCAAGTGCGAGTATAAAAACTAAAAAAAAAAAGTAAAAATATTTTTTCATGTTAAAAAAATAAAAATAATCAATGATTAATAAAACATGAATCAACTCGTATCTTTTTCAAAAATCATCCACTTTAAATCAATCTTACCAACAACATTAACATTAAATAAATAATATTATATACTATTAACCTATTTTATAAATATTTTGTTTCAGGTTGTTGGAGCACACCCAACATCCTTAGGGATGATTGAAACAGATCTTCTACGTGCATTAGAAAGGCGTGTAGCTGTATTAGAACGTCAATTAAATGAACAACAGACTGCAGCATCATCAGAAACATCGAATGTTTTACGAGAACTTAAAGAACAAATGAATGCTTTTAAGACTAAGTTGGAAACTACTGAGCACCTGAGTTGGTTAGGTAATCTTCTTTTTAACTTCCTACTATTTCTCAGTAGTATATACGTGAAATTCGGTTTGTATAGAGATTCTGCCATTCAATCTCTTCATATTGGCTCAGAGAAGATATTGGAATATGTCACTTATTTATTTTAGGAAATTGATTAGTGAATAGAAAAGAAAATTTACTTATTTACTACAGTGATGTGTACAAGATATTATGAAATTTTTAACTCTAAGTAAGTAGGTAATAGATTTAAAAGGAAGAATAGTGGTGCGGTAGAGGAAGATGTTATTTAATTAGATAAGACTTATGTTCGTTGAATTACACTATAAAATGAAGAAGATAGATAAGAAACAGAGCAATTGTGAAAGCAAGTCGATTGAGAGGCCAGACGACTTAAATTCAAGGCGAATGACGGATATATGAGTGTATAAACATGGAAACGTTGCCAGAAATCTACGTGCCTCTGAATAAATATTTGTCCTCACGCTTGTGCAAATCGTCATCACTATTCCTATCTTAGAGAGCAACTTTACGTGTAGCAAAGATTCAGTTTATATCTAACAATTAAGATATCATAAATTTCCCGTAGATAAACAGCTGATAAATACTCTTCTAAATACCTTGATATTTTTTCTCGTTCTTTTTTAGATATTTTATAATAATTATTACTCATTTTATTATTTAAATATCTCATTATAGGATGTTGGACCATTTTAAATAATACTTTTGATTTCTCATCTGATTATTCAATTCCCAGTGGGGAGTTATTTTTATATTACTATTCAACTTATTTAAAAAATATCTTAATAAAAAAAAATCGTCATTTGATTTGTAGGTTTTTATAAACAGTTACCGGAGCCTGTTTCCTCTGAGGCCTGTAGAAGATTGCAATATCGACGCAAAAGTGATAGTGTAAAACGTCGAGTACGTGAAAAGTTCCTCAACATCTGGTGAGTAACGAAAATGTAAATCGACGCTCTAATATTATGCTAGTGTATAAAATTAACCAGAAATTTTCCACTAATATGAATGAATCCATATTTGATAATGTATCATTTCAAGTCATAAGAAAATGTCAAGTTCTAATGAAATATCATCAAAAGTCTTTTATAAAATATTGTATTCACATCTATTAGCTCATCAAATAAATTCAATATTTTATTTTAATGAAAAAAAAAAAACTTTTATTGTGCAGTAAATAAATTGATCAGTATTTTCAAATGATGATTGAATTATTGATAATCATATGAATAGTTTATCTATAAAAATTTCATGAAATTGGTGAGACAATTATTTCTTTTTTTTTTTGTTAATAATAACTGATGAATTAAACATTTTTTTAAAATAAGAAATAAAAAAATATTTTAAAATTGCATCAGAGGTTGAACGTAGTTACAGTCTTTCCGGATAGCTGAGGTGCTAAATGAATTATTCAAGAGTTTATACTGATGCATGAACAATAAAACATAGATTAAAGACACGAGTAAAAAGGAATAAAAGAAAGAATGGAGATTAGATTTTAATTTTTTTTTCAATATATTTAATATTTTTTCAAAACTTAATAATCATTAATATTACAATTAACTAATTAATTTTTTTTTTTTTAAATTTTAAGCTCACTACAATAGTAGAATAAATTGATGATTATCATGACAACTCTGTATGAATAAGAATCATCAAGTTTCACAAAAAAAATACAGCTCGTAGAATGAAATCGAAAGCAAATATTTGATCGGAAGAATAAATAAAGATAATGGAATACTTGATAAATAAGTAACACCAAGAATCTCCTGTATTTTCTAAATCTCACGTATGTCGATATTTTCTTCACCTCGATCATACTTAATGTTGTCTTAGATAATAAAAAAATCTTTACTATCTTATTTTTTCTCTTCTATTTTTCATTATTAACACTCTAGTGTGTATTAACATATTTATTAGTCATTAAAACATTTAATAATATTTCACGAATAATTAACGCACTAAATGATGTGACTATGATGGATTATTTATAAATCTGTAAATCCACTATAATCGTATATAGCCAGTAATTCTAGTGACGTTCGAATAATGAGATCAAAATGTTCATGGCATGATTGCTAATTCCAAGTATATAGCTCTTTGATAATAATGATTATATTATATATAGCATACCAAATAAAATATTAATACATTCATTTATTTCTATATTTTATTTATTCATTAAATATATTTGTATTATTTATTTAAATAATACTACTTTAGACAAATATATCTATTTTTTATTTTTTATTTTTATTATAATCTTCAAACGTATGTTTAACAAGCATTTAAATAGTTTTTAATTCTCTTAAATATCATTTAGAAAATTGATTGGTTATTAATTATAACTTACTAAGGATTATCACAATCCTTAAGCATGCGCATGAATGTATCTTTGCTACTTACTCTCTAATTATGCCGCATGATATGAATTAAATATCTTACCAATTACTTTGTTGTAATTAACATGTAATTATATACTAAAATAATCATATCAATAACAATAAAAGAAATAAAAAATGTAGTAAAGTTTTTATTAATTCAAAATTGAGATGTATTCTTAAAAATGTCATGACTTCCAGAAATATTATATTTCAATAAAAATGAAAAATTTACTTTATGTCGACAAAGGCATATATTATTCATCGTTGATGGACACTTGTTTTACATAAATAATTACCACAAGACTATCATTTCCTCATTCTACTCTTCTAAGTTATAATTATTGCCATGTTATCCTTTTTTCATCTCACTCTTGAAGCAATAAAGATCATGTATGTGTTGATGATGAAAAATATTGTGGCGCCAAGAAACCCGAATAAAAAAAATTCTACGAGCATTGATACAGTAGCAGTACTGACATTAATCAAAATGAAAAAATATCTTAACGCATAATTTCTTTACTAACTCTTCAACAGGCTATGTTATAAATGACTAGTAATTACGTGATTACCAAGTTGCCATGTAACTACGAAAAATTGCTAGTTACATTTTATTCTATTTATTTGTTTCTATAAAATTATTAAGACTTGGTATATAATATTTACGGCATTTAAATTATGCAAAAAGATAAATGATATTTAATTATCATGATATTATTCGTTTCATCAAAATTAATTTTTATTATAGTCAATGAATTTATTCAATTATTAATCACTTTATTTATATCAATTGACTTTGATGTTTTAGTTATAATTATCAATAATATAAAAAATAATAATGATAATAACATGAATAAGAGAAGATATTTTCATTATTTTTCAGTGATGTTTCCGTGTCATCGAGCGTCCGAGAGTGGTTACGTTCACCAGCCTTTGACGCACGACAGTGGGAAGATGAAGAGCTTTTACTGATGTTACAAACGATGTTTGTTGAACTAGAATTGCCGCAGAAATTTAACATTCCCCTACCGACATTGAGGAATTTCCTTTACGAAGTATACAATAATTACAACGAGGTGCCATTCCATAACTTCAGGCACTGCTTTTGTGTAGCACAAATGGTAAAATCAATAATTTAAACTTTTAAGACTAATTGATAGCATCAAGATAGTCAATAATGAATTTATTATTTAAATAATATTCAAGCACATTGATGGTAACATGTTGATATGTTAAAGATGTACGCGATAGCATGGGCTGTGGATCTTCCTACCAAGATTGGTAACCTCGAAGTCCTGATATTGATTATCTCCTGTATATGCCACGATCTTGATCATCCAGGATATAACAATATTTATCAGATAAATGCCCGGACTGAGCTTGCATTGCGCTACAATGATATTTCTCCATTAGAGAATCATCATTGTTCAGTAGCATTTCGTGTACTTGAAGCACCCGAGTGTAATATTTTGGCATCATTAGATAGTGCAACATTCCGTACTGTACGCGAAGGGATTATAAGATGTATTCTAGCGACAGATATGGCAAGACACAATGAAATTTTAGGACAATTTACCGATGTCGTACCCGAATTCGATTATCAAAATAAATCACACATCAATTTGGTAATGTTTGCTTTATTAAAATATTTTTAAACAAATTTATCAAATATATATATATATATATTTATTTATTATCGTTATTTAATATTCTATTTGAATTTCAGTTGTCAATGATTCTTATTAAAGTGGCTGACATCAGTAATGAAGCGCGTCCGATGGATGTAGCAGAACCTTGGCTAGATCGTTTATTGCAAGAATTCTTTAAGCAAAGCGATGCAGAAAAACTTGAGGGACTCCCTGTGACTCCTTTCATGGATCGAGACAAAGTCACAAAACCATCATCTCAGTGTAGTTTTATTGGTCTCGTTCTTCTTCCCCTTTTTGAAGCTCTTGGTGAACTATTTCCTGAACTTCAGGTTCGTTGGCTTTATTATAACTTTAGTCAATATATATTTTATTTTTATATTCGTATCAGTAATAAAGTATTTGTTGTTATTATTATTCAGAAACTTATTGTACAACCTGTACGATATGCTTTGGATTATTATCGTCGACTGAATGAAGCAGCCAAAGATGAACGTCATCATCGAAAAAGTATTGTCGATCTTGGAGAATCTACAATGTCATCATCAACTACCGGTTCGTCTAACGTTGTTAAATCTACTTCATCTCATAGCATGCGTTCTAAGCGTTCAGGTTGTACTATTAGATCACGGTCAAGATCAATAGAAGATGAGGGTGAAAATATAATGCTGGAAGAATCAGATAATGTAGAGAGTTCAGATCCGGAAACAGCAACTGAAGTTGAGGTTAGCGAAAAGACGTTAAAATTTAAAATTTCAACAGAAGGAAATGTTGCACCTTCATCAGCTGGAAGGAGAAGTTATCCTGGAAGTAGGAAAGGAAGTCGGGAAAAGTCATCTTTAGATTATCATAATCATGATTTAGCAAAGGCTGTTAGAGATCATGAACGTGAGAGAAGAAAAAGTAGAGGAGATAATCTCAGTAGTGACATGAGTTCTCCTGTGAGTGCAAGATCCGGTGAAGACACAAGAATTCTTGAAGAGTTTGAAAAAGATCAAGTTTTGTGTATAGAAACTCGAATTAAAGATGAAAGGGTTGAAGAAAATGGTGGTAATATCGCTGTAGAGACTATTATTGGACGTAATAATTCCAATAAAAAAACAAGTAGTGATACTGATGATAGAATTGGAAGGAAGGAAATAGTTGTAGTAACAGATAATAATCTCAAATGCTGTTGTGATGAAAAATCATCATCTAATAATCATAAATCATTATTATCAAGGTTAAGAAATTTTACAGATCGACTGAGTATTAGTTTTGACTCTAAAGATCCACCAATTTCAAAGTCAAAGCATCATGGAGTTACTAAAATTCTTACAAAAAGTAATTCAGTTATGAGTGGTACTTCTAGACAAAATAGTACTTTATCTATTTGTAAAAGGTGCAATTTAATAAAAAACACCAAAGACCTTTCAACAACTGCTGTTCTCACACTTTCGAATATGGATAAGCGAGCGATGACGTTACCAAAAACTCGAAAATCACATGATAGTAGAGCAAAAAGTTGGAGAATGGTGTTTACTAAAGAAAAACGACCTTCAGCATCTTTAGAGGTCCTACCAGCTCATGATTCTGAAACTTCTATTGTAAAACATAAAAGAAACTTTTCTAATCCTGAGGAAAAGATGTCTATATCCAAGGCACAGCTTTCTAAAGATATGAAAGATCAAAAAAAATTAAATTTTACGGAAATAAATGTTAGAACAAAATCAAAACCAGAAATTGTTAATGATCCTGAACATTCAAATATTGTTGATGAAGATATTGAAAAAATTGAAATTCGACGAAGTTCCGCTAGTATGGAGGACATTTCTAAAATAACTAAACAACATGAAAGTATTCTCGGTATGTTAGATGATAAAAAATCTGAGGAGATGCAGCATACAGGAAGTCTTGATTCAATGCTCTACAAAGATTCAGCAAAGACTGAAAAAAAATCATTTGTCTTCTCTTCACCATCTAGTGCAAAGAAATCACCTAGCTTATTTTCTAGATTTAAATCTGGTATGAGTATTGACGGAAGAAGTAACAGTGGTTCACTTCATGATCAATCGGTTCAACAATCACCAAGTGGTTGGATTTCATCTTTAACTTCTAGTTTTCGTCCAAAAAGGCATGCTGGTGATTTCACAACGTCAACTCATCCACTCCATTCACCCGGCCATGAAGAAGTTAAATGATACATCTTTATGATGGAGAATAAAAGAGGTAGATTCTCCGAATTTAGCGAATGGTGGGCACAACATTCATCTTGTTGTAGTGGTTAAATTTTATTTTTCTTTAATGTTTCAATGTCTTTCCAAGTATATAGTAATGTAACAATGAAAAACTATTATGTATTCCTTCAGTTTTACGGGTAGAATGAAACATAACTTGCTATTCCAAATATATATTTAAAAAACTTCCTACTGAGAAGTTGATACTAAAATCAAAAATGAAAGTTGACTCTTTATCGACTTTCTGATTTAAGTTATACAAACGAATATTGAATGTAACTTGTCAAAAAAGTAAGAAAGAAAAGTAAACTAAAAAATATTATTTATGGATTGAATATTGAAGTTACAGAGTTTTAATGGAGACTCTTAAAAAATGTCTGACAGTGTAGTTAATTTATACATAATTAAGTCGAAATATCGCGGCTGATAAATTATTAGGTCTGTAGATTATTTTATTTATTGTCTGAATGTAGTTTGACGTATGTAGATTAATTGTTATTATTAATGTTGTTTGTTATGTATATTATTATTATTATTATCATTATTATTATTATTATTATTATTACTATTATTATTACTATTATTATTATTATTATTATTATTATTATTATTATTATTATTATTATACGTAACGTTTACAATAAATAAATTAAAATCGCCATAAACGTATGTTGCGTAAATATAATATCTACACGTTTATTGTCTCAATATATCGATAAAAATATAGTTAGATAGATAATCAGATAATTAATTAATTAATTAATTATATATATATATACGTATATATATATATATAAAATGTATATTAATAATAGAATTCTTTGAGTTCTAAGGTGTTAGAGTTGAGTGATTTTAATTAGACGCAATTGTAAAATCGCCGAGAATTACTGTCTTTGAATGTTGCAAATAGAAAAACAAAAATATATTAAAAATTATCAATATTTACATGTATAACGTAATATTGTCTCTTTTAATCATCTCATTTAAAGACAAATGAGTAGTAATAATTGACTTTTAAATAAGATGTAAATCTTTAACAATGATTCTCAATAACTCTCACTTCTTATTCTCTGCATTATTAAACTTGGATTTTTAGATGTTTATATTTTTATACTTCATCAGTGTTTCTATACGGCGATTAAACCGCATGTATTGTTGAACTCTAGTCTTATATTTACTATCAGCCACCCAACTTGTATTGGGCATTTTTTGAAATTAAATTCCACAATTTATTTAAATTACTGTAGCGATTTTTTTTTTTCGTTTTCTTCTTTTTATTATTGTTTATCAATTTTTTTGTAATTGAAACTTGTATTTATAGTCAATTTTTTCCTACCTGAATTTCAGCACGGCCTAGATCTAAATCGGTCTAAATGATAACTAGGCCTAAACCAAAATGTATTTTACTCGTTCTCGTCATTAAAACGAGTGATAGCAAGTAATGATTGTGTAAGAAAAAAAAAAACTAAAAAAAATACTATCAACGTATGATATCTGTTCTTATTTATTTTTTTCCTCAATATTAATGATACAATGAATGAATAAAATTTGAAACTTGATGGTTTCTTTTATTAAATCAATTAATAAAACTTTAATTAAATATTTGGCTTCAATTTTATCGTAGATATTAAGATCTTTATTTAAAATGTGTTATCGGTTACAAGAGAATTAAATTTATATAAGCTACAGCCAAATACTTCGTATTACAATTGTATGTTGTATGTTGTTATTCATATAATGAATAAACGTAAGATCTCAATTTCTACCAATATTTATCATTGAAACTTTTCAATGAATTATATTTTATGATAAATATTTCAATACAAATAATATTAAAAAAAAAACAATATGTAATCATCTATAATGTTTTTGTTTTTTTTTTATTCTGACATGATAATATCTTCTTCCATATCATTTTATTTGATTCAAAGTAAATTTAATTAACTGTTATTAATCTGATGACAAGAAATTTCAATAAAATCAATGTGAGTGTACATAATTTAAACTTATCAAAAAATCATTACATGTGAGTGAAAATATCATTAATAAATCGATCAATTTCATTCATTATTATGTAATAGATATTTTAAGTATATCAATTAAATTAAATGTTATTAGGAAATAAATACAAAAAATGTATTAACAAAATAACCAATTTAATTGATATATGAGTATATAAATAAATATGAAATAAGTGAATAATTCAGCAATTGCTCTACTCGCTGGCGAGTAACAATTGATATTGACTGTAAAAAAATCTATACATGCAGTAGAAAAAATAAAAAAAAACACCTATCGTATCACTACATACTCATTATTTAATTAACATTTGTGATAATATGAAAATTCCCAAGTTAATGAATGATTAATGTGAGTATTTCTAAATAGGTTTATCCATTTTTCTTTTTATTTTGTTCTATAATAGAATAAAATATTTAAATATTTTTTATTTTAAAAAGTACTACTGATTACATGAAATATTGTAGTTGTGAATCAATACGTGTCATAATATTATTTTATTCATTAGTTTTTATTATAATAGATTAAAATTTTAAGTATTAAGGAATAATATGTAATCACGAGTATATTATTATTAAACGAGTATAATAAGTATAAAAGATTTGCAATTACTATAAAAATTGATTTTTTTGTAAATGAAAATAAATGTATACTTCTGAGTCAACTGATTACGTTGGATCATTTTTTTATTTATAATAAACCATTTTTATTTTTTATTTGGTATTATTTATTAAAAATTAAATATTTTTATATTTTTATTAGAAATGGAAATATCTCGAGGATTTTTCTGTATTTATTATGAAACTTTTACCTGAGTTATTTACAATATATAGCAACTATTGATTTTATTCTTGCTGTATTCTACATTATTTATCATTAACTTGGTGAACTTTAATACTTTATCGATATTTATTTATTTTTTTATAAATTAAATAATTTTCAATAATATTTCTATGTTTTTGCCAATAAAATAAAAAACTACATTTATATTACAAAAGAAATGATACAGCTTGCAATACATTTAAAAAAATACTTTTTTTTATCTAGAGATATAAAAAAAAAACATTGAAACATTGATAAAATTTTAATTTTACAATTGATAAATAAATCAGTATATTTTAATATATAATCTAGGTCACAAGCTTATAACAAATATTAACATAATTTTATTTTCTAAATATTATGCAGCTTTTATTTTTTTTGTATTTAAATAAATTCCACCTAATGCAGTTGTTAACACAGATTTTGGAGTTAATTGCATAGGAATTAAAGTTTCATTACAAGGAGTAAATTCATATTCAGATAATAACTTGATAAGGCCAAGTTTAGATTGGAGTAATCCAATTCTCATACCTAAAAAATAATATTAAAAAATAAAGTGATAAATAATGGTTATAATAACATATATAATAATACTTTCTGTATTAATTATATAATACTTACCAATACATATATGTGGTCCTTCTCCGAAAGGAATGTAAACAAATGGTTTGGTAGCTTTTTTATTTTCTGAACTGAAGCGTTCTGGATCATATTTATCAGGATCCGGGAAATATTCTGAATCAAAATGAAGACCAGAAACAGAAATAACAACTGGAGTACCTTTCTCTAGAGTAATATTTGAATTAGGAATTTTATAATTTTCAGTTGTTACACGATCTAAGAAAGGTAGTGGGGGATATTTCCGTAAGGTTTCTGATACGCACATATCCATATATGGCATATTCATAACCTGTAAATAGTAAAATATCCAATAAACAAATGATCCGTCTTGATAAAGATGAATAACAAAATGAGTAAATATATTTTACCATTTCATAAGTAATTTTTCCATCAGATTCATGTAGTGCGTCATTTATTTCTTCTCTTAATTTTGATTGAATTTCAGGATGAAGTGCTAATTCATAAAGTGTGAAACTTATAACTGACGAAGAGGTTTCAAAACCGCCGTTGAAGAAAACAGCAGCTTGGGCAACTAAATTATCACCAGAAAAATCTAAACAAGTAATTAAAATTAATTGTAAATATTTCTTATTTTATTTATATCCAATGAATAATTATTTTTACGAAATAATCCATTACCAAACAAATTTTTAAATGCACTATCGTTTTTAGCATTGTTCTTTAACTCTACAAGCAAATCGATCAAATCATTTCGTTTAAATCCAGATCGTTCTCTTTCATTTATAACACTTGACATTGTATTTCGCAAAAAGTCAGCACCTTCTTTCGACATGAACTGTAAATTCAATGGCTTAACTAGACTTGGAGCAAAAAATATTGCAGTCAATTCAAAGTTACGGTACAAAGAAGTTTCGAATATTTTTCTACCACATTGTCTAAATTCTGCATTTGGATCATTTAGAGAATTCGCTTTAACACCAAATGCTGTTGTAGCAATCATATCAGTTGTAAATTTGGCAGCTAATTCTTTCATTTCCAAAGTTTTTCCTTCTCCTTCCAAATGAAGGTTTTCCATGTGTGTTGAAAGATCATTACCAATTTCAACCATAAGCTCAAACATTTTCTTCAATCTACCAGATGTATAGATTGGTGTGAGCTTGGTCCTCACTAATTTCCAAGCTGGATTTTTCAACAAAAACAAGTTTGCATCACCGAGTCGATCATGTGGGCTTGCTCTGGCATATCTGTCTTGGAAATAATTAAAGTCCCGTACGAGTACATTTTTCACAAGTTCAGGATCACGAAATAAAAGTGCAGGTTTATCAAAAATGTATAAACCCACGTAAGGTAATCCTGATCCCCACTCATAAATATCTTGGATCCATCTTCCTGCTGATTTTTTAGCAATCAAACATGCTCCAAAATTTCCAACAAATGGTATTGGTGTCACTTCAGTTATTCCTTGTTTTTTCCAGTACTTAAATTTACGTGTCATGTACAAATATGCTAAGAAAAATAAAGACACCAATCCAATAAACATATCAAAAACTAAATATTTCGTGAAGAATGCCATTTTTATTTATTTAGTAATTTAATTGATGGTGTTAAAAATATTTAAATTCAACAGTATTTATAAAATAATTACATTATATCAAAACAAACTTATGATATCAAAGCCACTTGACTGCAGAACAGCTACTGCGATTATGTTGTATTAAATGTTTCTTTTATATTTCTTTTTTGCACTGATTAGATTGCAATATGACGGAGCAATTTTGATATTTACGATGTATATTATCTTATAGGAACTGCAATTGAGATAATTTGTATGAAGAGTTTGAAAACTCAAGTGACTCAGCATGACAACCTTGCATTTAGCATCATCAATTATTTGAATACTCATTAAAAAATAAAGAAATTATACAGTAATCCAACTTTTCTTATTATCTGTCAGAAATTGTATATCATAATAATATATGATGCTCATATAATTGACCGAAATAATTAGAAACTGTAACGATAAACAAGTTTCTTATTAACAAAAGTCTGTCTATAAAATAAAAAGGAAGAGTTTATTTATTTCAATAATATGCTTCTTTATTTTTTAATTAATTAAGATATTTATAATATATACATTCAGTACAAAAAATAAGAATAAAATAAATTGTAATGTTATAATACAATTCAACGATTCTATTTTATACCATGTAACTCTTTGTCAATACCAACAACAATATTATATAGATATAAAAATATAATTAATTTAAAAAATGGCGCTATAATAATAATTCATTCATTTTTAATTCAACATTTCATTATTGATTTGAAAATAGAATAATCTTATTCTATTTTTAAATACTGACATACAAAATACTTTTGAATATCTTGGATACATATTTCATTTAATTTCATTTGTAAACTCGAAAATTTAAAAAAAAAAAACAAAAAAATTTATTTTTATTCAATTGTTATTTACATCTATCTCAAATCAATATAACATCGATTAAAGATTAATCTTAATAAAATATTGGCTGTGTAAAAAACTACTACATGTCACAATAATTTCTTTAACATTTTATTTAATTAAAGAAATTTTTGCAATTTATTTAATATTAGTTTTTTCACTAATTATTCAAATTTTATCTAATTCCTTGCTATCTTTGAAGATTCTTTATTTCGAGCTACATTTTCCAAGTCAAGACCATCATACTCTAATGCCCCGACATTATCATAATAGGCATAATCATAGTCATTCTTTTTAGTAGACTTTGGTTTCGAAGTTGTGTCATCTGTAAATGTTGGAGTAGAAGAAAAAGGTCGAGTTGAACCACTGTTGTAAGTTGATCCTCTAGGTGTGGTTGAATATTGTTGTGATCCACGATAATTAAAGTTATTTGGATTATAAGTAGTTGGTGCTGCGGTTCTTCTGTTAAATAATAACATTCAAAGGTTAAATATTTTGAACAAATAAAATCTTATAAATTATTTGAAAAAAAAAAAAAAACAAAAAAATTACCGTGGAGCAAGAGTAGTTGTTTTGGGAGTTTCTGCTAAAAGATTAATACTTGATGGACTGAATCCAATGCCTTGAGATCTTACAAAGTCATAGTTGGCAGTGCTTGTTTCAAAGTATTTACCCGAATTGTTGTTGTTATCATAATTATTGTATTGATTATTCTTTTTTGGTGGTTTCGTAGAATCAAAGTATTGAGTAGATTTTGATGATTGGATATTGGAATCACGATATTGTCCATTATTATCATTATTCTTTTTCGTGGTAATAGGAGAGTAAGTAGTTGGAGCAAAATTATTAGCTGAATAGTTTGGATAAAATTTCGTTGTCTGGGATGTACCAGTACGTGATGAAGTGATTCCATCTGATTTACTGTTAAATTTATTGCTATTATTATCAACATAAGCTGCTGTGGTTGATGGGAAAATAGTGGTAGAAGTTGATCTTTGAATGTTGTTGTAATTTCTCTGTTGGAAATGAGTGTAATCTGTTTGCTGATAATTAGTACTGGGTGCTACAGTGGTAGATGGAGTTCGTGAATTTTGGTTAAACTGCGTGTCCTGATTATTATATTTATCTTGATAGTTTTGACTGTAGCTTGTTGATCTAGGTGTACTTGGTGAATATTGGAAATTTTGATTATAAGTAACTGACTTGGCAGTCGTTGGAGTATTTAATCCCAATGTGTTACTTTTTTGATTTCCATAAACATGGTTATTATTATTATTATTAAACACTGGTGCTTTTACAGTTGTACTTGGCACTTGATAGGTACTAAAAGTTTGTTGAGCAGTTGATGAAGGTCGATGAGTAGATGTTTGAATGTTATGTTTAACATTGAACTGTTTATTGTAGTCATCAATGGGACGTACTGTTGTTGATGGTGATGATGATGTTGCTTCATTATGATTATTGTTACGACGACTATTATAACTATTGTAATAATTATTATTATTATTATAATGTTGAGTCGTTGAAGATACTGGAGCAGCAGTAGTTGACGATGCATAATTATTCTCATTATTATTATTGTTATAAAACTGTTGCTTTCTGGCAACTTTTCTAACACCAGGTTTCTTTTTAGCTTCAACAATTGGTTCATAATTCTTCTCATTATCATAGTCTTCTTCTTTTCCATTATTTCTGCTGTTGTAAAAATTGCTGCTGCTACTTCCTCGTAAAATATCACCCTTCTGGTTATTATAATTATCACTATTGTAATTATTATTTTTGTTGTTGTTGTTGTTGTTATTATTATTTTGGTTATTATAATTATTTTGAGCTACACGATTGTAATTATTGGCAGCCGATCGAACAGGATCATTAGTTTCACTGCGCTGAAGATGATCTTGAGGCTCTGCATCACTACGATACATGTCGTAGTGAAGGGATTCAAGACCTGAACCGATTCTGTAAAGGTCGAAATTGTCGCTCGCATAATAAAGTGTTGCTGCTTCGCAGTCGACATCATACCAGTTAGCACAAGTTTGACTTTCTTGATCAAATGCCGTATCATTGGGGCACAAAAATCTGTAAGATTTAACGATTATTCAAAAATTCGAACTATCTTCACATGGTATAGTTATTAAAATTATTTAAATAATTACTTATAATCTTGAATGAGGCCAGCTACTGAAACGCATACGTGAAATAGCTGGCAGTCAGCTTCAGGATCAGCATAGTAACTACCCACAATCTTGTTGCGACAAGTAAACGAAGTTTCCGGCATAAATTGTTGTGAATATCTTGGTGGTGGTCTCTGTAGACCTAACGCGCAACACCAGAGTATTCCAGCTGTATACAATACAATTACACAATTAGAAATGTTATTAACATATTTTATTTCTCAGGGATTTTATTAAATTTGTTGTCTTTTTAGTTCACCCAGAGGAAAGTCAAGCAACATGATTTATTTATAGATTACTATAAAACTTTATTGCAAATTAAATAGTAAATACGCTAATAAATGAAGATAGTTTGTTACAAATTAGATAGAATAAAATTTATATTTTTTTATACAAATATGAGAAGCTTAATGAGTAATAAATCTTGAGAATTAAAATGTTTCATTCTTATAATATTATTAAGTGATAGCCACCAGACAAGCTAAATATACCTTTCTATTATACTCTTTAACAATGAAAAATGTATCCATGCAATCATGACATGCACGCTTGCTTTCTTAATAAGTTAAAAAATTATATTTTTATTTTATTCCATAATTCACACACTTAACGCACAATTTTTTCATTTATTTAATACACAAAATTTTTGATAAAAAAAACTCAGACTTTTATTCCTTTTTCCACCAATTATGATAATAATTTAATAAAATCTATGAAAATAAATAACTAAAATATAAATAAGATGGAAATTTAATAACAAACCAATAGAAATGAAGACCAGGTTCTTCAAAGACATCTTGCAATAATTAATTCAACTTAAGATAAAATGTTTTTAACTCAACACTTGGTATAAAATGAATCAATTTTATATGACTACTTTAATAGTAACTCTTATTGACCAGAAGAACCTTCTGAAATCACCTTGAAGATGCGACTGTAAGATCGCTAGTGAATGTCTGGTCGAAAAGGAGAGTTCATCAGCCACCTGAAGATGGGTATTGCTATTGGAGTAGGGATCGAAAGGATCTAAGAGAATGTACATTTGGTGAGAGAGATATTCTATACGTAACTTTTTCATTACGTCATTCAAAAGACCATAAGAGGATGATGATACTCATATGTAGATACATATTTGTGTATATATATACACACCATACATATAAAAGACATTTTACCAGTAGGACATTGTTAGAATAACTCTCAATCATTTCTATAACATTCTGACAAATTAACAAGAAATTCTTAAGACAGTAATGAGCACTTTCCACCCAAATATTTTTACTTTTAAAAATCGTTTTGTCATCAGAAAAAATATTCAATTAATATTATATCCTAAAAAAACAAATATATTTATAATAATTCATCCTAACAGTATACACATTTTTCCTTTTTATAAACATTGATTGAAAATCATTAGTTGCAATTTTATTTAATAGTATTTTATTTCATTTAATTAAAAATATCGATGAATTTTTTTGTTGGATTAAAAATTAATCATCAATTATTAATGGATTAATTTCAATTCTATATATGTACAATTTTAATTTAGAGTTTCAAAACAATACTAATTCAATAGAAATAGAAAAAAATGTCATCGTTCTCACATACTAAATGATTCTCATGACATCATTATAAATGAGATCAATCATAACTGTCTATATTTGATGCTTTCAAAAATGATAATTAAATAATTTATCATTACTAATTTGTTTAATTAACATTTTTTGACTCTGAAAGATTTCAACGATCAAGACGTGAGTAAGTATCTTGAATGACTCAACAACTATTAAGAATCTTCTCAGCCTTGGAGGGCGAAAGTTGTCTTGGAATCGCTTCCTAACTTATAACATTCATGTGTATAAAAATTTTTTGTCAAGATTTGTTCTAATGTAACTTTTGTTGATGTTCAATCATTAACACACAATTCCATTCATCTTTACAATTATTTTTTTAACTAATTATGCATTTTAAATGTTAATTCAAATAGAGAAAGCTATACTTTAGTTGATTAATTTTTTATATTACCTTATTTATTATTACATCATAAATTTTCTTCTGTGAGAAAAAAAAAAAAATAATCATAATTCATGAGTTAAGAATAAGAAGACATTAATTTTTTTTTTTTTTTTTATATTCAAAAAGAATAGAGAAATTCTTGAAGAATAGCAAAATAGTTTTATCAACATTTATGAATGATTGGAATGAGGAAAGACAACAGTGACTCTACAATAACGGCAAATATCAGAAATTGACAGTGCTCGACGTCTGTGGAATTTCATCTTAAAGGTTAGACATGTCATAAGGGTCGTGCTGATCGAAAGGCTTCAGCCTTTACTACCCATTGACAGGTTACTCATACTAGTATATGGACTTTTTTAACATGAGATCTTCGGAGAAAGTAATGAAAAGGTCATAGATCAACATAATTTTTTATTTTTAGTATGTCCTTATCGTCCCCCAGGGCATTGACAGAGAAAATACTCTCACTATCATCATCTTCATCTCCATCTCTATCACCATCATTATCATCATCATTATTATTATTTTATTATTACTATTATTATAAATATGAACTCGATTAACTTCCAGTATTTGTTAAAAATGTTCAACCCACGTTTGTCATTACTTTACTCATTATGTCATTATTCTGAATATCTTCTATCTGCAAAAAATAAAATAAATTTTAATTTAAATTTTGAAATAAATTTCGTAAACGTAATAGATTATTTTTTTACACAACCTTGATCTCTCTTGCATCAAAAATAGAAGAGTAAATAAATAAATAAGATAACCACGAAGACATGAGAAAAATATTTAGGTTAATCGATAAGTGATAATGTCGATCATTTCAGCATACATCCGCGTTGAAACGTTGTAGGTAAACACAAACTCATTGCATCACCGGATGTCACGAGCTTCGCTGTAACAAGTTGGAAAACGCAGGAGAATCTGCCATGGGTAAATTAAAATAGAGAAAAGGGTGCCAAGTATACATGACTGCATTTCATTTCCGACAATTGAGGAACATGTATGCTGACTCAGCCTTGAAATCTTGGCAACATCAATAACTGCTATTAACTGCTTGATACATGTGTATTTTCCTTCTTTACTTTTTCAATACGAAATAGGCAGAGAGTACATATAGTGAAAGTGCCAAGTATCCATTGCTACTTCCCACATAATGTCTTCGTTCCTTTTCCTGTCTTTTCATTCATTGTTTCGATTTTTAATGTAGGTGTCCATTACCGTGTTATAAGATACACCTATTACGCCTATCATTTAATATTCTAATACACGATCTGTAAAATATAGTATCAACTACAATTACATTATTCAAAGAATATCAATACCATAATAGTATAAAAAATCATATCATAAAATCATTTATGATTATGCTAAACACATGAATCATTATTTTTCCAAGACATTCCACATAAAAATATCTATGAATATTAATTGACATTTTATTGATGAGAAAATAATGTAGATATTTTTTTTAATTGCATTCTTTAATTATATAATAATTTTAATACATTAAACTTCTCTTCCGAGTGATAATTAAAGAGTTATGAATAATAATAAAGTTCAATAAGAATGTGTATATAACTCAATAACACTTACATTAGTGTTTTTTTTTCTTTTATTTTTCCGTAGTTAACTCCAATTGCTATCATTTTTAGTCATTTATATATCTTTATCCTTTGAATGCCGCTTGAATAAACTCCGAGATACCACTAAGATTGAAGAGCAACATTCTCAATCACATTAGGCCATCCATAGTAGAGTTGCAATGCAATCTCTTGCCCTCCACAGCTAAACATGGAAACAATTTTTTAAAATCATTAAAGCATCGATATTCTAAGCCTTGAGCGATACTCGTTCTACTCTTTCTCTCGACAAGTCTCCTGCAATCCTCCAGGCGAGAACAGAAGACGCTCCTCCACGAGAGACGAAAAGGCCTCGGCTGCTTTATTGCCACGTGAGAAAGTGAAAGCAAATCCCAAGCACTTTGATTCTTCTTTTGCTAACACGATTAACAACAGTATAGCAGCTTTTCTACCTCATCGTTTTATTTATTTTCTCTATTACTTTTTAAAGGATATTCTTGGAACCATTCAGACTAATCTTCCAGACATTAGCATATATTTATATACTCAAACTATTTAATAATATAATTTTTTTTCTTTCCTTCCCATCAGTGATCTTCAGTAAACATATTTGATCAAATTTAATGTGGCATTTTTGATGTTAAATTATTCCATAAAATATTATTCGATAAATCAAGTTAAAAAAAATGTCTCAGAATTTGATAATAGTTGTGGTAGATCAACAGTATGCACACGTGCCATAATAAATATATATTAGAAATCCGGCCAACCTATATTATCCATGTAAAACAATTTATAATCATGAGTTGCAAGATACAACTTAGCTTCTACTTGATTTGCTATATGTATACTAACTTAGTCTCTCTTTTTACAAGAATATGTTATACCTTTGGCATGACTTTCACTCGTATCGTCTCGTCGGTGATCCTCTGTATACATATATTAAAAGTATCTTCTTCTCTTTCGTAAGGAAATACCATAGCAAAGTATTTTTATTACTGGCATACCTATAAATATGAATAAGATTAACAAATATTCAAGTATGTTAATATACTTAACCATCATTATTTAAGGGTAATTTACTATCAGAGTTAATGAATAAAAAATAACTTCTGCTCTAGATATCTCTTTACCAATGACGGTAGTAGATGAGAACAAAAAGAAATACTTATGGGGATAATGTAGAAAAAGGAAACCACATAAGAGCTATATAAGAATGTGCAATTTCTCGTGGGAGATTTTCATCTACGACATTTGAGATTTTAGTACACAAAATGAGAATGAGATAACATGATGTGAGACTCATTAAGTCAACAACGTTGTAACAATCAAGAATAATACTTGGAAAAAAAAACGTCATCTTAGATGATAATTAAATACTGTAACAATTTTATAATCTAATTATTAATTACAAAGACTTCATAAAATGAAAAATATTATCATCATAATAATGGTGATCTAGTAATAGAGTATTACCGTGTCTTGGAGATACGGATGAGCCTTACGAAATTAAAATTCTTGCGTAACATCTTGTCAGTACATTACGATAATTCTGGTACGTCGTTTTTCTTCGGGACTCTCAATCGCTTTTAAAAGTTGACAACCTCAGTTCACCTTAAATGAGAAAACAAGATCTAGAATTGCATTATTGCGTGAATGTAGTCTGAATATATTTTTTTTTAGAATCATCAACGTATACTATTATAGTTGATTCAACATACCGTTGAGATAAAATGCTGAGATTTATTGGTATTTGTAATTAAATCATGAATAAATCAAGATCCCATAGATTTCAATATATCATTCAGCTTTATCTTATTAACCATTTAATAAAAATTATTAGTTTATTTTTGTCAATCTTTAAATTAAAAAAAACTAAAGATGATAGTAAATATTTGAATGAATAAATAAGAAAGAAATAAAAAGTTTTCTCACCATCTCCAATATACTTAGATTTAAAGAACAAGTCATAAAGATTCATTATGATGATATGTAATATGTAATCTAATTTTTTTATTACTTATTACTCTCTAGTACGTGCAATATTTTTCTCAATATATTTTTATATTAGATGTTTACGCATAAGAGGTAAAATCTACCATGTAATCCCACTTTCTCTATTTATGTGAATTTGTTTTAGTTACAAAAATTTTTATATTATTTTTCTGTAGTGTCATAGATAGACTATTGTGTAAGATACTATTGAATCTATTAATTTATGTCAAGCAAAAAAAAAAAATTTGAACAAAAAACTTTTCATCACTGTCATTTAAATTTTTATTCCCATTCTAAATGATGTAGATAAAAGAAGAATGATAAATTGATTTTTAAATAATAAAAAATTTGTCTCTTTTATTCTCATTATCATGTTTCTATTCATATTTCATTGATTCTATTATCGATCAAATGGTCCGGAAGTAAATAAATTCTCCAAGTACATTATTTAGAAATTTCACTGGGAGAAAGCCAAAGGACGCGACCGTATGCAATTAGTTTCTTCAAAAACTCCTCTACTACCTATTAAACAACATAAAAAGAATTAAAAAGTTCAAACAGACATGAGGAAATCTTAGCTATTAAAATATAACTCTATTAAAATGTCAAAAAATTTTATTATTTTTAAATACCTGATATTTAAGTGACAAAGTTTGTTTTTTCCTCAATATTTCAATTCTTTTTTTTTTTTTATTGTTCCTTCAATATGAAGCTTAGGATCTTGCGTGAGACAGTAGCAACAATTCTCACACTAGAAGCGATTATGCACTATTATGAGACTTTTATTACCCACATTTTTTTCCTGTACCCTCCATCATCATTCGGTTACGTTTTATTCATTCAAACTTAGGCTTCATTAATCTTCAGACAATTGATAACAATATAGTTGATATAAAAAAAGAAACAACAAGTAAAGATGCTCTTTTATTTTACACTCACCTTACATAATAATAGTTATCGTTAATGCCTCTACCATAATAAATAAATATTTATACAATCAACTTTTATTACTCCATTAACCTATAATTACTTCAATTTTTGAACTGTAAAATTAGCAAGCAAAAACGAGTTAGTAAAGAGTATTCACGAACATACAATTATTTAATGCACTAGAAACCTTGATATTGACTTTTATTAAATAAAAAAATTTTGTAATAAAATTAACGTACTTTGTACCACTCCTTAGTACAATGAGTATATTCTGTCATATTTATTGTAAATAAATAATTAATTGATGGTTAAATTTGATTTTAATTATAACATCGTCTGATGATCAAATTACATTGTCATATTTATCTTTATATATGTACATATTTGATAATGGAGTAATGATTAGCCTTGAATGTATAACCTTTTAAATTGATTGCAGAAGTCGTTGATTATTGTGCCATATTCAAATGTCAACGGAACTATAAACATCGTGCAAAATAAAATATCTTTATGCATTGATGTTGATAGAAGGTTCATTATCATCATTTTACTCTAATATGAAATTTTGAAAAAGAACGAGAAATACTTTACATGGACTTTCTATCACTGTTGAAGTAATTTTAAGGGGAATTTATAATGAAGGAAGTTGAAATTTAAATAAATAAATATGCATTAATTGTAAATTTATTATTTTTAGAATTGTTTATAATACTTTTAGAGAAAATATTTACATGAAATTGGATAAAAAATAATTTTTGTATCTAAACTCACATATAGTGACATCTTTTAGTTACTACTGAAGATAAATGTAAAATTTTATTCATCATCGTTGTAATATCATCCACTGATAATCATATTAAATCATAACAACAATCATCAATTGATTTTTGCATCAAATTGGCATACGATTGGTTGCAGAAATAAAAAATATAATTATCGTACATGTACGGATATTATTTTTGTGTAAAATGACGGAAAAAATAAAGAATTTTGATAATTTTTTTAAAGAATCGATCGAAGCCAATGTGAAATCAAATGTATGTTATATTTTTATTGATATATAACCTCTAGAGAAATGATTAAACTAAAAATAAATAAATAATATAATGATAATTATTTTTTTAGGTATTGGAATGTCGAGTTTGTGACGATGTTTTTACTCTTGATGGTGGAAAAGTTCCAAGACTATTACAATGTGGTCACACAGTTTGTCATACCTGTCTTTTAAGAATTCAACCATGCATGGTAGATCTTCGATTTCTATTGTGCCCCTTTGATAGGCAACCTACTAAAGTCAATCATGAAGGTGTATACAGTTTGAAGAAAAACTTTGCCCTTATAGAATTATTGGAGCGACTTCAGCAATCGAATACAGAAAAATCTTTAGTATTAGAAAAAGAAAGACTCCAATCAACTCAATCTTGTGATGAAGATGAGTCTCATACAGCTGTTTTATACTGTACAGTGTGTTCAACGCATTTATGTGAAGCTTGTGATATTCTTACACATTCTTCAAAGACATTAAAAAAGCACCGCAGAGTTCCTTTATCAGAAAAGCCAAAAGAAAAGCCAAAATGTCCAATACATACAACTCATGTTGCTGAGTTTACTTGTGTTCAAGAAGGATGTAATAATGCTTTGATGTGTTATTTATGCAAAGACTATGGTCGTCATAGTGCTCATAAACCCGCACTAATTGAAATAGAAGCTGATAATGTAAGAAAGACAATTATTTCAGCGCTCCAACGAATGACACAATTTATGGAAAGTATGAGAGATACAGCTCACAAGATTGAAGTGGTGATACAAGAGCTTGAAGGTTGGGCTATTGAAGATGCCAGACAAAAAGTTAGACAGCACTTTGAAGAATTACGGACTTTACTAGCGGAACAAGAAAAGACGGCATTGAATTGTGTGGATAAAGAAACTCGAGGAAGACTATGTGCCTTAAGATATCAACAAAAGGATCTTACTGCAACGCGTTCACAGGTAGCTGATGTCTGTATTCAATGTGAAAGTATACTTGATTCTGAAGATTGGAAGTTATTGAGCGGTGCTGAACAAGTCAAAAATGTTTTAACATCGTTGGAACAACAACAACAGCATTATGCTCAACTTGGACATGACTTATTAACTCCAGAATCTTCAATACCAATCATCTTTGGCAGGGTATTTTATCATTTTAATATGAATTATATTAAAAAAAAAGAAACAGAGACACTGAATTTTCATGATTTATTTTTATTAGATTTATCAAAATTTTATAGATAATAATACATTACAATTTTTTGGTTATTAATTAAGTTTTAACTAATATTGTATATTATATTTAATTTTAGGACAACCGTGTACATATTGGAACAAAAATTGATATGAGAGTTGTAATATTAGGACTCGATGGTTCAGGAAAGACCAGTATATTATCTGCAATGAGAGGAATGACCCTTTCTAGCCCTCCTATACCTACAATTGGTTTTAACGTTGAAAGTCTTGAGTATGAAAATTTAGTTGTGACTTTTTGGGATGTTGGTGGTCAACATAAATTTCGACCGTTATGGAAACATTATTATCATGATGCTCAGGCAGTTATTTTTGTTGTTGATTCATGTGATAAATCAAGATTTAAAGAAGCACAGAAAGAATTATCTAAAATAGTCAGTAAAAAAGAATTGAAAGATGCACTCTTTCTTATTTATGCAAACAAACAAGTAAATAATAATTAAGAATATTCTATTTTAATATATATATATATATATATATCCATACAACAGTGTAAAATTATTATATAAATTATTTCATTTTAGGATCTTGAAGGAAGTGTAACAATTGAAGAGTTAACTGATATTCTAGCTTTACAAAAGTTATGTTGTGGACGTGTTTGGCACATTCAAGGGTCTTCACCTTTAACTGATGTAAGTACTGCAATACAAGGATTACAATGGTTAACTCAACAGCTTGGTGCACATGAAACTCTCTGTACTGTATCTTCTGTAGTTTAATAATTAATTTATTTCTAGTTATGAATAGAATGTCAAAATTTTTATAATATATATTTTATTTTAAACGTAATAAAATAAAGTTAAAATCTAGAAAAGTCTTTTTTTTTTATTTAAGTTATGGTTACACACCATTTTTACATGTCCAGTCATTCTTTCAGAATTGTAAAAGGATTAAGGGATATTTTTAGATTATATAATTCGTATGGAGAAGAATCTTCTACACACACATTATACATAGGCAATATTAAATTACTTTTTTCAAATTATTTTTTATATAAAAACACTTATCAAACAAAAACGGAACAACTTATAGTCTTCTCAGAGCTTATCTTTACACTCATCTTGATTCAATTTCACTTTTTGCTTCTCCTTCTCTCTTCATTATTTATTAATGAGCCACTTCCACTTATATTTTATTAAATACTTGACGAATTTATTGGCAATAAAAATTGTACGTTCAAGCAAGGACTACACTCAAAGAGAATTGGAGAAAATTTCTTACGTAGATAAAATTCAATACATCTTCCCTTAATGATGAAATGGATTTTTGTATATCTGAATGTTTGATAGCCCTTAGAATAAATTCTGCACCTTACTACACATATGACATTTTATAATTTACAATTCATTTACAACTCATCATGCTCCTGTAATATAAATAAATAAAAATTAATTTCATAAATATTATAATATTTTTAATCATATTTATCATTAAACAAAGGATAATTCAATGCTTACTTCAACATCTGGAATAGTGTTATCTTCTTCTTCTGCATCACCTTCATTATCATCATCATCTTCATCATCATCATCAGCAGTAGATTCACTCTTTTCAGATTCAGCCTTCTTTCTTTCTTCAGCTTCCTGAGCTTCTTTCATCTTTTTCTCACCTTCCTATAAATACCACAACAACGAAGTTTATTATTTTTATTCTTTTTTTTGTGTTATTTTTAAAAACTTTCAACAATGTATTAAAAACATATCAGCAACGAGGAATTCCAGCTTTTTATCACTCATTAAAATCGGAATCGCTTTTATCATCATAATAATAACTTGATTTCTACTTATTTAATTAAATCTTTCATTTTATCTACATGATACTTACTAAGGTAGGTTTCCACACTTCTTCGGCAAATTTGCTTGCGACTTCAGGTTCATCTGTGATAAGAACATTATCGAAAATAGTGCCGGATTTAACCTGCCAGAGGTCAAAACCAATAGCGCATATTTCGTCGCGTTTGTAGAGATTAGGATCTGGAGTATATTCTGGATTATCGATTTCTGGATGAATCCAAGGTCCTTTGTAGTTAGGATTATCAATTTGTTTTGGTTTCCATTCACCCTTTAATTAAAAAATGAATTATTTATTAGAATGCATATAATTATTGGAAATTAAAAAATAAATGCAGTTCTCATATTGAAAACAATTAAAATACCTTGTAGTCAGGGTTATCGATAACAGGAGCTTCCCATTCGCCGTCCATTTCATCATCCCAATCTTCTGGTTTAATAGCTTCAGGGTCAGGAATGTGCTCTGGTTTATCCCAATCCTCAGGTTTTTTATCTTCAGGATCAGGAATTGTTGGACGATCATCCCAATCTTCAGGTTTAGTTTGTGATGGATCCTTGATTTTTTTTGGTGGTAAGAAGTCCCAATCGGCTTCTAACTCTCCTGACTCAATGACTTCATTATCGATAAGAACCTAGAAATAGATCATTCGCAATCCAATTAAATAGTAATTTTCCATGTTATTAAGAACCTTGTTTAATTATTCATTGACATATCGATCCTTGTGAAATACATAGTGAAAAAAATATTATTCTCTACTTTTAAAATTCACAGGAAAATCTTTTCTCTTCGAGCACTTTCAGCACCTATTCTCTATTTTAACAAAGAATATGAGACTCTAGGCTCGGCGTTTAAACAACAATTATATTATTATTTTTTTTTAAATATATTGATAAAAAATTGTTTACCTTATAAGTATTATCAGGATTAACGATCAAGGTGTATAGATGTGTGTATACATCATCCTTGCAACGGATATCCTTGTTGATAAGTAAGTTTTTACCCTTGTAGTTGAAGATCACATGGACTTTCTTAGTACCAGGTCCACAAATATCAGGGCCTTAAAAAAATTATTAAATAATAAAAATCAGAAAATTTAGATAAAATTAGATTAAAATATTAAAAATATCTAAATTTAAAGTAATTCTTACCAAACATAAGAAGATATGGAGTTTCTCCATGCATATCTTTGGGATTTAGGGAGCAATCGAATACTTTAACGTAACCACCACCGCAATCAATATTTTGTTCATGTTTCACGGTGAATTGAACGACTAGTGGTTTATTTTCGTTAGAGAAAGGTTTGAACTTTCTACTTAAAGCGTAAAACCTGGCATCTTGAGATGTTTGGATACCTTAAAAAAGAAAAAAAAAACAACAATTTAATTTAATGTATAAAAATAAATTATTACATTTAATAAAAAAGTTTATGAATTTAATTAATATGTTTCTGCACAAGGTACCTGAGGAAAGTATCATTACTAACTCAGGGCATAAGCCAGACTATTTACTTTTCGAGTTCCTGTAGCACTTACCATTTATTATAAATGATATGTGACTCTAGGCTCGATAAATATTTTACAAAGTATTTACTTACCTTTATCATTTTCAGCATCATTATAGAATTTTCCATGACTTAAAACGAATTTTCCGAATTCTTTTCCAGGATGTTCTGAATACACCCAGTTCTTCTCCCACGAATCTATTAAATAAATTCACAAAAAAGTACATTATTTTTCTATTTAGTTATAATTAATAATAAATATTCGAGGAGTTTCGTCTATCCACGTGCTAACAGTGAGTAGACTTTGAGAAGTAACGGATTTCCGGTTTATAGACATGAACAAAATTAAAGTGGGGATTTTGAAGAAGCTGGAAAGAGTGTCGTCGTGGCGATATTTTTATGTGGATTACCCTTAAATTTATTTTAAATAAATAATATCTGACTAAGAAGAATATCAATAATTTTATTAATAAACTAACTCAGTATTAATGTTAAAACATTAATAACAAGAATTATATTTAAAATGTAATTCAATAATACTGATAATGGAATTATTTAGAAAATAATATACTCATTTTATAAAATATTTAAATGTTTACAATACTACATTATATATAAGTTTATACACAAAAAATTAAATACTTTTAACCGGTTGCTAAGGGTACTGGATTAATGTATTGACATATTAAAAGATCTGTTCAAGTTACTTAGGAAAAAACGTTATTTTTTTGAAGTTAAAAATCATCAGCTATTATTTATTTTTAAGGAATTAAAGGGTGTGGTACATACAAGGGCAGGTTGTTAAAGTTGATAGAAACCATGACACATTGAATCATATAAACCGGCTTTTAAATAAGTGTGTACTTACCATCTAAAAATTTTTCTTCAAAATAAACTTCTGCAGCTACAGTAGCAACTGCCACTAATGCTAAAACTACAAACGATTTCATTTCAAACCACGTATTGGAATGAAAAGGAATTTAGTGTTTTTATAATTTTCTTAACTCCAGAATGACTACGAGCACACAGACGTATTATTTAACAATGCCACAAGCAACCAGGAGGCGAGATGTGGTTGGCAAAGTAAGAATTGACGGGGTAGACAGATGGAGAACGTTTATTGGTCAGAGTTAGGTAACCAATCATCACCAACCACGCTGAAACAACCAGCAACGACTTGCGACGTGTTGAAGTACGCAGTCGCATCGTGTACTAACATCCTTTTTCGAACCACCCGCGATTTTTTGCCATGAAGAGAATCACATTACCGACTGCTGATTTTAACCAATTCCTTTTTTTAGTTCCAAATTGTTTGCTAGATGGCAATAAATGATTGTAAAAAAAATTTTTGTTTCAATTTGATTTTTCGTTGCCATGGAAACGCAATATATTTATCTAAATGTATTGTAGTTATTGTAAAAGTACGTATTTGATTGATAGTAAGGTTATTATCATAAATAAACTTTAGAAAAAGGGTGTGTATTGTTTTTAAATGTTTTAATCGAACAATTCAAATTATTCTCTAAAAATGGCATCTAAAGCAACAGCTGCACTTTCTCGACTTCGTGAAATAGATAAAAAATATAAATCTAAACAAGAAAAACGATACTCTATATTTAGTGAAAGTTCAAAAAGTATCGATACAAAAAAATCACAAAAATTATTAAAGCCTCAATTAAATATTAAAATGCCAGATCCTTATGAAGAGTATATAAATGTAAACAGTTCAAGTGAAAGCAAAAAGTGTTCAGTACCGATCAAGATTATTTGTGAATTGCCAAAACGATCATCAAATAGTAATGATAACAATGAAAACATTGAAAGTATAGAAGAACATGAAATAACAAGTGATAAAAAAACTATTAATGATGAATATACGTCGAGGAAGGATGAAACGAATAAATCAATTAGTGAAATTTTAGAAGATACTCAATCATTATCTGAAATATCTACTAAATTAACCAAATCTCAAAAATCTATAGATGACAAATATCATGAACATTCAAGTCTAAATTTACTAACAAGAGATGAAACATCTAAAAGTGACAAGAAAATAAAAACAGAAGAAGAATATGAAGAAGAAGAAGTAGAAGAAGAAGAAGAAATAGAGGATGAAGAGCAAGAAGAAAAAAATGAAAAAGTAAATTTGGATTTAGAAGACAAAAATTCTCTTGTTCACTATTCCGATGAGTCATTTGAAAGTAACTCTTCTAAAACTGACAATTCTCAATCAACAGTCATTCCAGAGCAACTTCAGTCAGAAATAAATCATGAAAAAGTCAGTACAACAAAAGAACTAACAATTTTATCTAAAAATGAAACTAATACTTCAGATGATATTGTTAGTGATTGTCTGAATGTAAGTCGCGATAAATTCCAAGAGTCTGAAGAAAAATTAAATCCAAGTACTAAAAACTCCAAGTCTTTCACTACGTATAATGAGAGTACTAGTACTAAACAATCATCTAATGAATCTAGAAGTAAGACCGAAAGAATAGACAATCAAGATGATGATAATGAAACTATTAGAACTACTAAAAGAATATCTAGTGAATCAGAGATTACACCTAAATATTCAAATAAGCAGAAAATAAAGAGTAGTGAATCTACATCTCAAGTAGTTGTAATATTTAATCGAAAGTCTAATAAAAAAAAGTCCAAGGAATCTGATGATACGATAGAAACTATCAAATCATCACGGCAAATTTTATCTTTATCATCATCATCATCATCATCCTCAACTTTATCAAAATCATCACAAATTACAAAGCCTAAAGATCTAAAAAAAGTTGACATGAATCGTAGAAGAAAATATGTTCATCATAAGCCAAATGAAAGATATTGTTCTTCCGCAATGATAAATTATGTTAAGAAGATGAGAGAAGAACAGCAGAAACTTCATATGCTGCCAAAACAAATAATTTGTTCAGATAAAATGAAAATTCAATCAATTAAACCTCTAGAATTTCCAAAAATTTTAAATTTCATTCGAAATGATAGCTATAAAAATTCAGATCTTAACTTGGAAATTCTTCAAAATCACTTATCTAATATTCGCCAATGGTTGAAAGAGCAATATTTAATATACAGAGAAAATAGTGAAGTAGCGGTACATATTAACAGAAATTATCACCCAACAACTTTAAATGAAACAAAGAAGGTAATTGAATTATTATAGATTTTTACCATACACCCACATATCATTGATTAAATTCTTAATTATTTGTTTACTCATGTTAATAGTATCTATTAGATGATAAAATCTAAATATATTTCCTTTTTTTCCAGATAATTTATCAGCTTCAAAGTAAAGCACACGCTAAAAATAAAAATCAATAAGCAAACTACTAACAAACGTTAATACTAGTTCATGAGTGATTTTTTTTTTTACTGAGAGGAATTTCTATATAGAAGTTCTTTAATAAATTGTTCATTGAGTATATAAAACGTCATCAACGTCGTCATTAATGTGTTGACGTCATGGATGATGGCAACATTTAATAATAATCAGCAAGTAGGAAGATATAATATAGAAGAGCAACAAAGAAAGGCTGTCTGGCATTTTTCATCTTCCTTCCTCTCATTCAACACCCTACAACCCTATAGAATATATAGGAGTCGTTTGCACGTGTGTTACGTAGTGTACAAGAGAGTTGCGTGCGCTTCGGATCTCACAAATCTCGCGTGGGACGGCTTTCATTGACGTACCGGTAACTCTCGTGTCTTTGCAGTCGCTATTGGACTTTCACAAGTGACGGCAGTATACATTTAGAGTTATTTTAAAACGATTTTTAAAACTAAACTACATTCAGTAAAGTCACTAGTTTTTGCTCCGCTAATTCTCTGCTAAATAAAAATTTTAAATCAGTTTTAATTTCATCAAGTTGTTAACGTGTGTGTGCTTATCAAAAATATACCCACGGAATCGAGCACCAGATTCAGAAACGTGCTTGACGAGCTGCGAATAATACTGAGTTCTTTTGGTAAGTTTTAATTATTTTAATGACTAGATAATTATGAATATTCATTTATCAGTAACAATAACTAGTTTCACTTAATAACTGTTAATCTTTTTTTTCTTTAAATTCATAAATTTAACACTAATATTTTATTAAACATCTTAATTTACATTAATTATTAATCTAGTTGTTTAATTAAATTTTTATTATAAATTATTTTATATTTAAATATCGAACAATATAACGTTTTCTACCTCTATTCTTTGAAATTAAAAAATTTCGCAAATAGTGAGTAGCAACAAGCTTTTCTTTGGACACGGTTTAGTGAGATACACGTTTGCTCGTGCATACCATTTTACTGAATTATATAGACTAGTTAATACAGTGATTAAAATTGATGCTTGATTGTTACTGCATTTATTATTATACAGATAACGGTTTTCTGTATAAAAAAATATCCTATATAAAAATCAGTTAGATTTTAAAAACAAATTTAATCTTGGTATTTTTTTAAAATTACTTCTATATTTTATGATAATTGAATTAAAAAATTTCTTTCATTCAGCTACAATTATAAATATAAATAATTATTATAAAAGAATCATAAAAGAATGTTAGGTTGGTATTTTTTAAATGCATTAATGATAATGTCTATTAAAAATTTATAAAAATTCCATGTATTATTGACAAGATGTTGTTTTTTCTTCTGTCAACTTAAATAAATGAAATTCACAAAAAGGAATACATGATTGTGTTGAATAAAATGATGATCACATATGAATAAAATTGAATATACTGGACGAAGTTAATGAATTAGCAAATTTTGAACCATTTAGATATTTTAGTGGTATAAATGGACTTTTCAAGGATATGAGTGAAAGGTTCATGGTCATGAGATTGCTGGAATAACCTTTGTCAAAGGTTTTCCGTAGCAATTTCTTGATTACCTCGACTATGACCTTAAGCATTTTATACTAGTCTTCATTGCAATTATTCCAAGTGACCAAGAAGCTCGGTGAACTATTGATAATAAAGAATCGACATTTATCAATCTTTATTAGAAATATTTTCTTACAGTGTCTTCGATAAGTTTATCGTTCAAGTTAAAGCTCTAAAAAACCAATGAAGTGTATTAATAATTCTATCAATTATATCCGCATCCTTTAAATATTTTTTTCCTTTTTAATTATTTATTGAAGATTAACGATTTCGTAATAACTTGTTTACGTAATTAAAAACAAAATACAAAAAGAATTATTGACAATTTACAATTATAAATAAAAGGAAAAATAGCTAAGAAATGATTGATGTTATGTCAAATATCTTAGCAAAAAAGAACATCAATTATGTCTAGATGTTATTACAAAATTTTTAATTTTTATTACTGCTTATCTTTATATCAAAATTGATTTAGATGGCAAGGAATTGAAAAGCAAATACAAGTAACTATGGTAGCACTTATTTTTTTGAAACATTAAATATTCTGTCCATCTATTATTAGACTAAGACAAAGCATGATGAAAAGATGACACAAGTGGTCTTCTTCTGTTGCGTGTTCAAACTTCACGGTATCACAATTTTGAATAAAAAATTCTGTAACAATTATTTTTTCTTTCTTATCTAATGTTCTTACTTTTCAGTATTATTACTCTCATTTCTATTCTCCATAAAATTTACAAACAATAAAAAGCAATTATTAACTATTATTAAGTTTTTAAATATTAATCATTAAATTCAGGTTATCAAATAGATTAGTATTTAAATAGAGCTACCAAGACATAAGTGTTATTTAATATAAAAATAATTTTTTAACAATTATAATTAATAACGTTTGATGATGGAAATAAGTAAACATGAAGAATTCTTAAAACAATAAAGCAAATAGTACTAGAAGAAATAAAAGAAGAGTCGAGAACTGGACACTCATATCAGAACTTTGATAATCAACCAGCGGAACAAAGAGAAACCTTACCGGACACACACGCTAAGATCTTAAGCAACCACCGCATTGATTTCGTAATAAAACGAACCGTGCTTTACGTGACACTCCATGAAAGTGAAGTGTAGATAGGTGTGACCCCGCAGATCGACACTACCAACATCTTAGTACTATTTAATCTTTATTAACAATATTATATCACTGATAACAGGATTTAATAATCATCAACTAAATGAGATAATGATGAGATGCATAACTTGTCTGATGTGCTACATACATTCTAATCCTCTAGATGTATTGAAATGATATGCATGAAGCGTTCATATCTACCAATAATCCTAAGTTAAACAACACTCTGCTAAAAGTTGTATTTACTAATAATCCTAGACTGTAAGCAACAGATTTTATATTGGAGCCATGGAGTATTGGTTGTGTCCATAGATTTCTCTGGAGATACAACAAAAATTCAGACTCGTTCTTGAACAGATTTTTGATCTGTTCTAAAAAGTGGGATACTTATTTGATAAAGTTTATGTCTTCATTCAGCTGTAAATGATAAATATATTGTAAACAGATATTTTATAATTTTAAAGTAAGGAATAATGCGTGAACACCAACCTGCTGACACGTTACCATAACTGACAATGCACAGAAATCACGGACCAGGACAACGGGAATCTGCCAGTGAACGATACAGGTTGCATAACGGTTCTATTCGTCTCAGCATCCAGAAAGTCGACAACAAGTTTTAACTTTAGTATCATTCAATATAACTAAAAGAAATACTTTTAGAATAATCATGTATAATATTTAGGTATTGGTTACTTTTATGCAGTATTATTGCTTTTATTATCACGTAAAAAGCTGAATAAATATCCATTTTTGGAGTATTCATTAACCAAAAAAATGCTCATGTATCTTTTGTATAGCTGAAGACAAAAGAGGTTATTTTTGAAAAATAAAATCAATCAAAAAATACTCAAGGTTTTATTTTGAGTAAAAATAATTCTTAAGATGTATTTAAATAAGTTATTATGACTCTTCTTTATTTTTTTTTCTTCAATGAAAGGAAATGCAAGTCGTATTATGACTGTTTAAAAGTGTGTGTGCAAATATATGATAGGCTATGAGTCATCAGCAAGAGGTTGCAGAAAAGTTGATCGTCAAGGTGGGTGAACAAACTAGAAAATCATGTGGATTATTATTATTGAGATGTTTATACTTTGAATTGTTAAAAAACAAGAAATAATGAAAATATTAATTATACAATTGATGTTGTATAATTTTTGTACTTTGACTCAGGTGGTGTTTTAGAGTCAAGTTTTAATAATTTAAAGTGAGGTTAGTTAAAAATGTGAATATTTTAATTTTTATTACTGTAAAAAGCATTAAGCTAATTGAATTTGATGTCTCTGTGGCAGGTTGACTTTTATACAGACAAAGAAAGGAAGGTACAGTTGAGAAGACGAAGCTTGTGATCCAGTTCCCAACATGACAGGAACAATGTACCGTTAAGTCTTGGATAATTTCGAATCCTTGAGAAAAATACTATTAATTAAGATTGTTTCTACTATTTAAGTAATGTCTAAAAGTTTTATCATTAGGACAAACGAAACAAGTCTTTAACTACAATTTTATTTCTTTGCGATACGCTATATGAAAGAAATTACCGAACATTAGACTTTGTAATTGAAAAGAATCTTAAGCAAGGATCTAACATAGTATGGAAGGATGATGATGATAATTATTAGATATTAGAAAGTTAATCAAAATAAAATTGTAAACAATATGTTTGTTAATAATGAAATCGAAAAAAATGTTTCGAAAAATCCAGGAATACACCAGTGAATTACACAATCATGATATTTGATGAGCGTGAAATAATTCTAGAAAATAAAGACATTACAAATTTTAGGAGGTTCAGACGTACTTTTACTGTTTAAAAAGAGTATCTAAAAAAAAAGTAGTATCCTCACCTTTCACCCTGAAGTATAACTGTACTTATATGAGGGGAAAGGTGACTAAAATAGCTGGCTAACAGAAGCAAATAATAATGTTGGTTAGTTGCAAGAACTGAGGACATTAACCTGTTCGACCACTAAGCTATTATTGATGTTTTTCACTTACATTTAGTTACTTTCTAATATTTTTTGTTAATTCATGGTTAAATTAAACAGATCAATGTTAAATGTATGAGTGTGTTGTTGATACTGAAAATTAACATACTTTTCACAATATCAAATCAATCGTATTTATTTCAATATAAGTATTTAGTATTATCATAATTATATGAGCGTGAGAACCTTTACAATAAAGTAATAACTTTTCTTAATAAGTAAACTGGACATGCGCAGTCGATCTCAAAGATGCGGTTGATCGGGTGTGCATTCACTTGGTATAGAAGATAACATTTCCTGAACGCGAAATCAACATAACTTATTCGCCGGCAAGTTCTATGTATTGTATAGCTGAGCCTGCTAAACCTTATTAAGTCTGTTGCACGCGCCCACTCAACGACATGTTATAGCTAAAAAAGAAAGCATCATATACTATCATACTACTAATAATCATGAAAAAAAGATATTTCAATAAAAACACTATTTTTAAAAATCATTCAGGTGATTAACTTATCAAAAATTATAGATTGGTCTGTATGTGCTCTACTTAAAAATCTTTTGTGACAGAAAGGAAACTAGAAACCTACTTTCTTAATGTAACAAATCACCTACAACCTACATCGAATAATATTCAAATGCTAAAACTTTTATCAATTGAATTGAAATTGCTGTATAATAATATTCAATTTAAATGATTGTTAAAAATGTAGGAGAAAATTAATTAAAAAAAAGCTCGAATCATTATCAACATCATCATCATCATCACTTCAAAGACTTTGGAGCAAAACTAGTGTAAATAAGTAATTGAAGTCTAGAATGAACAAAGTGTGTAGGTGGTATCCTATAATGTAAAGTGATCTTCTTTTTATTATTTGCTTAGTCTCATCGTTATTACGTGTTATAGTCACTAACATACAACAGATATAGTGGATCGTGCTGTTTAGTTTATTCAGAGTGAAAGTACAAATTCTCGATGCTTAACTTTAGAATCAGTCGCACCGCGACGGCTTCTCTGGTTGGATCGATCCTGTGCCTTGGCCCTCTTGATGGCCTCGGCTTTAATTTCAAATAAATAATTATTAATTAATTATTAATTATTTCTTTGAAATGTTTTGATTTTATTTATTATTTTTTAATTGTATCAACTTGATGTGTATGAAAGAAATTCATGGAATAATTAAATGTCAACCGTGATTATAAGTGAACTTTATAAATGATAATATTGTAAAACCAGTTGTTAAATTTGTGTGGTAATGTCATTATTATTTTGTTTTTATTTTAAAATTATTTTACACAGTGTATTTTAAAAGTGATATTCCATATGGAGTTTATGAGATTGTTTAGGAAGTTTATATATCAACAAGGTGGAGTATTATGAATTGTTTTATATTAAAATTTCACATCGTGAGTTGTATTTAATGAAAAAGCAAACATGAACAAAATAAATAAGTGATAGAAATGAAAAAAAAAGAATAACGATGTGAATTATTTAAAATAGATGAATGGTTATGTGTGTAAGGAAATTTTTAAGTATTAAAGGTCACGAGAGAAAACTAAAGAGGAAATGTACAGACAATGTTATGACTTCCGCTTTGGATTTACTATTGTGATCATATAGTTGAAGAGATATTGGAATAAAGTTTACAATAACATAAACCATCAATAGTTGCTAACTTTTATCATTTTATGTTTGATGTTAATTAAATGTTTGCTGATTTTTTTATGTTAGTCATCCTTATAATTATAATTATTTTTATATAATTTTAAAATTGTGTCATGGTCATCAGTGTTCTATCTGTAACCCGAATATAATGATATAAAAGATGCATATTGCGTCAATAAACTCTTCACTCTTCAAAAAAAAAAAATAACCAAACAATGATTTTACATAATCATTCTATTGTTTTGTTTATTTATCGTAATTTAAATGAACTATGTGCATAGATAAAATTGATAAAAAATCAAAATAATTTATGAAACTATCAAGTTAGTTGACGGAAATTTGGTTCTTTACACTTCGATGCTTTCTATTGTTCAATCAAAAATTATTATGCAAGTCATTAAATTATATTATAACCTAACAGTTAAATTAACCAATATTTTAATTAAATTAATGCTTGACTTATTTTTCTAATTTTATGGAATAATTATTCATATTATTGTATATAAAATGAACATCTTACTTTTAAGTAACTATTTTTTTTGCTGTCATTCATTATTGCATACCATTTTTAACGCAATCTCTGGTAATTTCTGCCAACTAACATAATGTTGCATTAATCTTGTCTGCCCTCGAGATTGTAGCGAGTGAACGGCCCGAAGGTCGTGTTGATTCCATGAGTTAAGAAATATATATCTATTATACTACTTATATTAAAGGATTAAATACCTGATATTCTTTGATTTCACATTAAAGATGGTAGATTGATTAAGTAATTTTTATTAACATCTGGAATGCGGATTAAATGTAATATTTTGTTGATAGAATGATGTAAAAAACTATATTTATTAAAAAAATCATCTATAAAAGTTGAAACAAGTTTATCAAGTATAAAAAAATATGTTAGATAATTTTTGTTGTTTTTTAAAAGTTTAAAATAACGAATTAGTATAACTACTCTTGTAATTATAGACAAATAAAATAGTAATAATTATGCAATGTATTACATAAACATTTACTATTGCTTTTATTTGAAGATAATTATTGAAAGTATATTGTATAAGGACCAGAATGATAAAAATATTTTTCCAATTGAAATTAGAGATATTAAATAACCTCAAAAATATTTACTTTTACTTTAGTTTTTTTTTTTTTTTGTTGTATGATAATTGAAAATATTTGATTCTAAATTTTTAATTACAGACTGTGCAAAAAACAAGCCAAAAACTGGAAGTTACAATAAATCATCCTCCAACTAAAAATGGCCAGGCAACAGACAACAGACCGGAACATCCCTCATCTGAGGGACATCTTTGGTTTCGGCAACAAGTGGGAGACGGGACGTGGGCAGACCGAAGAGAAAGCCTTAGGTCACGACAGCGCTGTATCAGTGGGATCAACATCAGGGGAGGAAGAGAGTCCGAAGAACAGCAAAAAAAAGAAGTCTCGCCGCCGAGACAACAGCAAAACTCTAACCGAGAGCGACGTAAAGCATTTAGAGCGGCACCTGTCGATGAAGAAGACTATCCGGAAGAAAATAATGCGTGATTTGCAACAGGCGTTTGTTGAAGATCCTAATGAATTTAGAGTTGATGATATTCCACCAGAACAATTGAAAGCCGAAATTAATATTCAAAGTCTTAGCTTTGGTACACCATCTCAAAAACAAGGACGTTCTAGAGGAAACACTGAAAATACTTTCTTAGATATGCTACGAGCTGGTGGAGGTAAAGTCGATTGAATTTTTTTTCAAGTCTATCGTATATTTTATTTGTAATTGATATTTATTATCTTGATCGTACTTGTTTTTTTTTTCTATTGTGCTATATAATTTTTTATTTAATTAACATTGAGGTCTATTAATAATTCATGATGTTGACTTGATATTTTTTTAGGATTCGCAGAAGGAACCACTGATGGAGATCAAGATTCTGGTCATGGAGGTTCTCCAACAAGAGAGCCAGTTACTCATGATACTGATGATGAATCAAGCTTCTCATATGACACTTCAACTGCAACACCTACTAAAAAAAGTGGCGCTTTCTGGAGACGTTTTACTATGAAGAACCGAAATAAACGATAAATATAAATACTTGACTAAGAGTCGAATGAAAAATAATATTTTCCATAGAGCATTAACTTACTTAATTCCTTATTAATTCATTACTCTTTAAAATGAATTTTAGAGCTGAGCTTACGACTGTGATATACGTAAAAGAATCTGATGTTCCCTGCACTCTAGATTTTGATACCCATTTTAAATACATTTTACAGTCTCATAGAATTGATTTAATTTTTATATCAAATCATTTCAAAGCCAATTCCTTTTAATATTTATCAATAATAACATTAATAAATGTTCATAATAACGAGGATGATTATAAAAACGACGATCTATATTGTATTTTTATCCATGAAAAAATCAGTAACTGTTTCCGACATACTTTCTTCAATTGTATAAAAAATAATTTCCATCAATGTACCAAGCAAAGGAATAATCAATTTTTTATAAAATTATCTTACTTAAATTTGCACGTAATAAATTGTTATGATTAATTATTATATTATCATTTTAAGATTACTTATTAAAGTGAAGAAGGTGAGAGTTTGTTCTGATTGTTATGAATTTAAATGGTGAAATGACATCAAGTAAAATGATGGATTACTTACATATATATATATTTATACATTTGTGTATGCAGTTATGATATAAACTATAATTAGTTTAAAGTATACATTATTAGTATTAGCTAGTCACAGTGTGGAAATGTAAAATATGCAATCAATTGTTGGAGTAAAACATGATAAAATTAAAACAATGATAATAAAAAAATTATTATTATTTTTTTTATTGTTATATGTGATACAATAAGATTTTTCTAGGTGTTATTTCCGAAAAAAATCCAATCATATTTTTCGTATTAATTGCAATCCAATGTATTTTCTATGAGCGTATTATATCTAATAATTGTCATTGTATAAGGCAATTGACAAAATAAATATAAAAATTTTAAATACAATGTATTCAAGTATTTTATTAAAAATGAGGTAATAAATGGCATATAAAAATATTACAATACTTGATTATAGATATTATATATTTACAAAAACCATTAGATCATTTATTCATTGCCGTCATTGTTATTTATCATCATTACTGGTTGGTAAATTTAGGTGGACGTTTTTCTATAAAAGCTTTCATGCCTTCTTTTTGATCATCCTAAAATAAAAAATTTATTATGAAAAAAAACGATCAAGTGTTGTAGAAAAAAAACGTTTGCTTACTGTTGAAAATGTTGCCTGGAACATTCTTTTTTCAAAATGAAGTCCCTCTTGGAGAGTCATTTCGTACGCTTTGTTTACAGCTTCTTTAGCTAAAGTAACAGTTAATTGGGAGTGTGAAGCTATTTTTTCACCGAGTTTTACTGCTTCCGCTACAACTTTATCAGCGGGAAAGACTTTGCTGACCAAACCTAAAATATTTATTTATATATAATAAAAAATATCAATAGCAAAAATATATATATCAGATTGTAATAGTGATAATAACCAGCTTTTTCTGCTTCTTCAGCTGTTATTTGATTTCCCGTGAGTACCATTTCCATAGCTTTACTTTTGCCAATAGCTCTGGTGAGTCGTTGAGTACCACCAGCACCTGGGATTGTACCAATTGCAATTTCTGGTTGACCAAATTTAGCTTTATCACCAGCATAAATAATATCACACATCATTGCAATTTCGCAACCTCCTCCTAACTTTTGAGAAATATTTTTTTACTATCAAAATTGAAATTTAATTAAACATCATTCAATTACGTACAGCATAACCATTGACAGCTGCAATAACTGGTTTTCTAGCTTTCGCAACTCCAGACCAATGTTCTAAAAATGCACTAGTAATATTTTTCGAAAATGTATTGTCTGCCATTTCTTTAATATCAGCACCTAAAAATAAGTAATTTATTAATTCATTGTTAATCGTAAATTTCATTTCCTTTATATAATGAACTTTTTTTTTCTATACCTGCCGCGAAAGCTCGTTCATTTCCGGTGAGTACAATAGCCCCGACTGAATTATCTGAATCAAATTTTTGAATAGCTTCATTCAACTCAGTAACTAAGTCCTGACACAAAGCATTCAATGCTTTAGGTCGATCTAATGTAATTACCCCAACATTCTTTTTTTCTCCAGACTTTTCTACTTTTATAAACTGATATGTAGAAGGGGCTGAAAAAAATTCAAATTAATTTTTTTTATAATTTGGAACTCGATAGACTTCTTTATTTGTCGTACAGTCAATTTCTTATCAACATGTTTAAAAGCTATAGACTTGAAAGGTCAACTAGAAATTATGTATTTATAGAAAATTACGAAACCATTTACCTTATCATACAGTGATATTTATTAATCTGAATTATATAAATATTAAATATCAACTTCCTACTATCAAATTAAAAAAAATTATAAATTTTTTCGGATATTTGTTTAATAATTATAACTGATTAAATAAAATGTATCTAAAGTTTATACATTTATGAACAAATGATTAAGAATGAAAAGAAATGTAGGGAATCAAAGTTCACGAACCACTTGTTGATTTTTAGCAACAAGACATCTATTAAATATATATAAAAAACCACAAAACCGGTTTTGATACTCACTAGAATAATATTTGATAGTTGATGTAAAATTGATAGTTGATTTTGGTATGATTTTAGGCAATTTAGAGATTAAAATACGAGAGAAGTGTGAAGGAGTCATGATGGATCCTTATCAATATGTGTACTGAAAATTGAGTAGCACAGTGAATGCTAATTTCAACAGTTTTGATAAAGAGTAACTACTCTACATGATATAGAAGCTCAGACTCCAGAATTTCGTGTTCAGGGAGTGCTTAGTACGTAAGCCGGCTATTTGCAGCGCTAGTGTCGATTTGAATTGTCTGCGAATCAGTTGTTGACAAGAGTAGTATTGATAGAAGATGTTTATTAGGATATGATCTATCTTTTTTTCAAGAAAAAATTCACATTTATTCTAGCTTATCAAAAGCATGTCCAACTGGACAATTGAACAAAAAAATCTTCATTCTACTTCAGGGTTTTCTTTTACTTCACTGAAGTTTTAGAACCCATTCTAAAGCAGCCACCAAAAATGATCAATATTTCTTGGCTTATGCTACTTTGTTATAATTTCTATCTATTTTTTTACAATCGAACTTTTAAGCCTATCATCAAGCCACAATAGCAATTTAAAAAACCAGATTTTTATTGTTGAACACAAATATTCCATTATCAAAGAATGATTATGCAAAATTAACAAGATATTGTATAGTGATAACCCTTATGTTCATGTTATTATAGTTTTAATTATTTATTACAGATTAAAAATTTTGTAACTGATTATCATTAGCAGATATATATTTATAAAAATGTCAAAACTTGATGAATAATTGTCGTCATAGAAAGTTCCTTTTATGCTGATAATTCCCCCCTGTTTGCAAAAAGATCATCTGTATAAATACGATGGAGATCTTTATTTTCTTATATCATTTGCCAGTGGATTGAGTTTATAGAGTGAATAAAAATAGTTTAATTATTTTAAAGAAAATGGCAACTATTAAATTCAAGGAATCATCTCCTTACACTAGACCAACTCCAGCTCCACCATCAGAAGATTATTTATATAAAATGTAATAATTACAATAGTTATGTATTTTAATATTTTAAAATTATTTTACTAATTTAAAATTTTCAATTTAGATTTGAAAATAATCGTGCTCTAACTAGTGATACAGCAAGTGATCCAATTATAAGAATCGCAATTTTTGGAGTGGGTCGAGCAGGAATGATTCATCTTGATAATATTATCAATAATCCACGAACTAAATTAATTTATATTGTTGATGATATGGAATCTAACTGGCCGAAAATTAAAAAACATTTTCGATTGAATGATGTTATTTTTCTGAACAGTAAACAGTCAGACAAGGTTTTTAAAGATCCAAAGTAAGATTAAATTTTTTATTACTGAAAATAATTTTATTAAGTAATTTATGCAATCTAATTCAGTTGAAGAATAAAAAAAACTAATTAATTTATTTTTCAACTAGTGTTGATGCAGTACTTGTTGCATCTCCAACTCATACACACGAGCTGATAGTTACTAAAGCGTTAGAAGCAAAAAAATCTGTATTTTGTGAGAAACCTGTAGCTGAAAATCGCCAAAATACCGAAAAGTGTTATGCTACTGCTCAAAAAACTGGAAAAACTCTTTTTACTGCATTTAATCGTCGCTTTGATCCAAGTTATAATGCAGTAAGGAACAGAGTTAGGAAAGGAGAAGTTGGACATGTTCATGTACTTAGAATAGTATCTCGAGATTCACCTTTGCCTACAATTGAATATCTTCGTGAATCTGGTGGAATTTTCCATGACTGTATGGTCCATGATATTGACATGATGACATGGATCTTGGGAGAATATCCAACAAGAGTAAAAACAATTTCATTATAACTAACAAGACTTTGTGTTATGCTTTTACATAAATAATATATATTGTAAATTATATTTTAGGTTTCAGTTCAAGCATCTGCCAATATACCGGAGATAAATGCAATTAATGATTTTGATACAGTAGTAACATCGTTAAAATTTCCATCTGGTACTTTGGGAGTCATAGATCTATCTCGTAATTCAGTATACGGTTATGATATGAGACTTGAAGCTTTCGGACCAAAAGGAATGGTGCGCGCTGAAAATGAACAGCCAATTCACTGTGTTGAGACAATGTATAATTATAATGGTCCTAATCAGCCACCAATTTGGTATTCATTTCCAAGTCGCTTCCGATTAGCTTATCAGAAAGAACTTGATCATTTTCTTGACATTATTTTGGGTAAAGTAGAACCCTCTGTTAAACCTAAAGAAACGTTAGCAGTAAGTAAAATAGCAGCTGCATGTGAAGAATCAGCACGTACTGGAAAAATGATCGAAATTCATTGGAATAATGGAGAACTTCCAGCATAAAAAAGAGAAATATAAGTACAAAATTTAATATTTCAACTGTTTATTTGTTATTTTATATACAAATGAATTTGCTTAAAATTCAGCTACAAAAAAAATATTTTTATTAAACATTTTAATTTTGTTAATGTTTATTTTCAATCAAATAAAATATGATTTTCAATTAAATGAAAATTAATATAAATACATATATCAAAAATGCTTTTCAAGTCTACTTTAATTAATGAAATGTAAATAATTTCATTAAAACATGTAGATTTTATTTTTATAGGTTTATTTCACATTCTTTCAAGTTAATATTAATCAATAAAATCTGTTAAAAATGACACACTTTGAATATTTAACAAAAAAATCAAACAATAATTGTCTAAATAAAAAAAGTTATTGACTTATAAGCATTTTATCATTCCTGATTTAACTAGCTTGACTACGATATCAGTCATTCATAATAATTGAGCATTCACGTTGATTTTACGCAATAACTTTTCATAAATTCACAAAAAATGATTTTCAAAATTGAAAAAATATATTTTAAAAAAATGAACAAAATTATTCATTTATCAAACTAAATCATAATCATTCCTTGAAGTAAATTTTAGTATTTAATTTTGTTAGAAATATTAGAAAAGTCTTGCCAGTTACATTATTTAAAATTTTAACGATTTTGCATATAATGCAGCAGTAGCCTGAATTCCATCGCCATTGAATCGGCGTAATTCTGCAATTACTTGAGCTCGAGGAAAGCCAAGAGCTTCGATAGCTTTAACATTAGATTCTGTGAAAGGATCATCAGAAGAAACCGTAATATCAGTGTTATTCGTTGTAGAATTTGAGGCCGATGTGGTAGATGCATTATTTACGTTGCTTTCTAAAGAATGAATGATATAATATTAAATTTCAAAATAATATTGAAAAATATAATCAGTAATTAAATATCTACTTACCTTGTTGTTGTCTCAGTTTTTTTGCTTCTCTTGCACTATCTTCTAAGACTCTTTGGTAATCACGATCATCCATCGTACTATCATTATTACCACTTAATCTAGCACATTCAGGCAATTCTCCTAAAAATTATATATTTGATTAAAAACTTGCCACATATCAATAATTTTCTTTCATTAATTTTAAATTCAGTACAAACCTTCAGCTAAAAATGGTGTTTCAGTGCCTGTAGTACCAATTTTCAAGACATTTTTTTTAAGATCTATACAGCATTGATGTCGTTTAAGCATATCCAAACCCAACAACATATCCATAGGTTGTTCTTCAAGAACACTGAAGGACGTAGTTAAATGATCATTACCAATTTGTATTTGCACCATATGAATACGGCCAATAATACGTTGAACACCTACTCCTTTTGCTACTCCAGCCCACCTTGAGTCAACAAGTCGCATTATATGACATCGTTCAGCACATGCAGCTGACATTATTGTTGTTTGAGCACCTAAAATAAAAAATATAATATTATTATATATATTTTTAACAGATGAATAAAATAGTTTTTATTGAATAAGATATAATTACCTGAATCAATAAATGCTTTCACAGGATGTCCATTAACTTTACAATTGATATAAAGCATTACAACAGTCCCAAATGTTTCTGGATTATATTCCATAGCTGCTTCCATATTAGCTTCAATATTTTTTTGTCGAATTTCTTCAGCAATAAGTCTCTGAGATTCTGTGTCAAATGGATCTGCATTCATCATTCTTAAACGCTGGGCTTGTCGTTCGTCACGTGCTTTGATTTGCTCCTTTAATACCGTTGAGAATTTATCTAAAAATTATTTAAGATTGTTACAATTTTTTTACATGTTCATTTGATTTACTAGAAATATATTTATTATGATTTTTTACCAAGATTTCCGGATAACAATGCATCAGCTAGTCTAGAATTATTTTGTTTAAGTAAAGCAAGCTGATCTGGATTAGCAAGGAACATATCTCTGATCATAGCAGGATCATTTTCGCTCCGTGGATTTTGAGTTAGTTGAAGAGAAGAATTGGGACTCGTTGATGTTCCTGGAATCCTAATAGAACTAAAATCTAATATTGGCAGAGCTGAAAAAATATAATAAATTGAGTTAAATGATTAAGTGAATATAAAATTAGTGAATGTAATGCTAACCTCCATTACTGGTTGATTGAAGACTGAGATCTGCTCCACTTTGATGTATATGTTGTAGAATAACAACATCACCGTCTCTGATGCCATGATCTTTCAGAGACTTTTTTTCTTCCATGAGCGGCCGTCCATTAAAAGCAATGGAGATTTCTGGTGCAGGAACTCCACATTCTATCTCACAAAAGGCTTTAAAATTTTCTAACTCTAAATCTTCACTAACATCCAGGACAAATATATCATCACCAAGAGTCGTTACCGTCACTTTCATCTTGAAAATATTCTGCTAACTGATTTGCTTTACTATTTTGGAATTATTTTCACGTTTTTTTGGTTAACTTAATCACGGTTTGTAATTAAACCGATGATACACAATATAAGAAAATATTCGTAACAATTTTAACAATACACGGTATAAAATATTTAACAATATACTTGTTAATTTATTATATCTCACAAAAATGAGTGGGGAGGTGAATGATAAACAGTTTCTGGGTATGTAAACAACAACCCAGCTCAGCAAAAATATTCCACCATTTATAAAGAATACAATGTGAAGTTGTTCACATTTTGACTTTCATTGAATATCGAATGTCGATAAAGTCAATTTCCTTTTCACCATCGAATATAATCTCGTAGATTTGAAAGTATTGCCAAAAGATATTGAAAAAAAAACAGGAAAAATAATAAAAAAGTTATTTTTTTGAATAAAATAAAATTAAAATAATCATAAAATGCAAAACAATAACTAAAATATTTATGGCACATAATGCTGATACACAAGCGTACAAGAGTGCGTGAAATAGTATATTTCACACCTAGGGAGGAAAAGTAGACTAGCTCAAACCACGTGTAAAATTACAACCCGAGCCGAAGGCGAGGGGGGTAAACACGTGGTTTAAGCTTGTCTAATTGTCCTCCTTAGGGCTGAATATAATTTTTCGTCATACCTGAGTGGAAAGTTCAACCCCTCTCCAATGGAAAAGTGAACTTTCCGCGCAGGCATGACGAAAAATTATTTCCTTAGCTCGATTTATTTGTTGATTCATTTAATTAATTATATTTCGAAATATTTTGTTGATTCTTTTAAATTTAAAATTTGTAAGGATTAGTTTGAATTTTAACCTTGAAATTGAGCTAATAAAATTTAGAACATGATGGAAAAGATTGATCATTTCATTTAATTCATATGATTTACATTTTATTTGTACTTTTTATATCTCAGAAAGTTATAACATGTAAATAATCCCAATTTAGAAAAGTTTGTAGTGGCTCAAAAAGCATTTGCTAACATTGTTGGCTAACAACATCGATTAAAATGAAATGAGAAAAATATTATGTTCCAAAATACACTTCGAAGATTTAAAGTTTTCGGAACAATCGGATATCTCGAAAACTTTAATCTCCGAAGCCATTTTCTCGCAATATTAATTAAAAAATCTTTTTTTATAAACAATAAATTTTCATGTGACATGGTCATAAATGTTTTTCACTCATTCGCATCACTAAAAAGAGGTTGCGAAACTAAATCGGTTGATATTTAATAAATTCATAATTTTTCTTGCGTATTGACTGGACTATTATATTATCCATATTTTATGTCGGTCCAAATTGTCAAGCGCCAAAGATGCTGTGTTTTGCCAAAGTATACAACAATTAAAACAATAGGCTTTTCGGACCCCTACAAATTTTTCTAAACTTGCAGACCTGAGCGCCTCCGAGTTTGTGGATTACACTATACCTGCCACGTCATCGGTACTTCCGGCAGGTGTTGCAAGATGCATCTTTTTGGAGAGTGCCAAACTTAAAAGGAAGCCATTTTTTTTTAGTTCGCTTACAGCTGTGAGAGAGATCGTTTCGATTTCAACAAAATCAAGCCGTCAATTACTTGGGAAGCTTGAAAAGAGTTGTGAATAAAGTCTTCAGTTGCAATTAAGTTCGAAAAGAATAAAAATTGGAACTTTTTTTGTTTTTAATCGTTCTTTTAACGTAATTTTACAGTGCTTGTTAATAGCATCGTTGTGTCAACGTTTAATCCAGTGAATTGACAATTTTGTTAAAGTAATAATATCTAAAAGATTATTTAAAAGACTATTATAGTGAAAAATGGATGATTCTACGAAAGATCTTAATTTAGAATTGCTTCGTAAAGCAATAAAAAAAAAAAACTTACAAACTGTAAAAAACTTAATAAAAAAGAATGTGGTTGATGTTAATGCATCTGATAGAAGACAAAGTACCCCACTTCATTGGGCGGTACCTAAATCTAACAATTTAGATATCGTGAGATTTTTACTTGATAATGGTGCTGATGTTCATGCAAGTAATTATCAGCATTACAGACCACTTAACATTGCGATTCAACATAATAATTTTGAAGTTGTATTATTACTCATCGCAAGAGGAGCTCTAAATGGTAGTGGTTTGAATTCATCTTTGATAACGGCCATTGAACGCAACAATTTGATGATAGCTAGAATTTTAATTGACACTGGAATCCGATATAATGTATCAGTTGATTTAAGCGATGCACTCAATGTTGCAATTTCTCATAGTCAACCAGAAATGATGGAAATGATTTTACCTCATTGCCGATTTTTAGACTCATCTGCCAAATATATCCCGTGCCAACTTATAACCAAAGATAAACCGGCAAATAAAGAATGTGTAGAACTATTATTAAGATGGAATTTTAAAGTTGATCCAGCCAGTATTCATGATGGACATTTTATTTATGGAGCCGTAGCCAATGGTCATTTACTAATTGTTTTACATCTTCTAGAGCTTGGACTTAATGTGAATATGGTAAATTTGAATAGCGGATTGAGTCTTTTGAATGTGGCTTGTTTAAAAAAACACTATGAAATTGTTAAAATTCTGTTGAAATGCAATGCTTGCATGTACATAACAGCACCCACCGACGATAGAATTTTAAAGAACTATTACTGGGAAGATAACCACAGGCATTCGATGCCATCATTATGGAGAGAAGAAGATTTATGGGATTATACACATTTGCACGTTGCTGTTATAAATTGTGATCTAACAATGGTACGAGTTGTATTAAATAAACCTGGAATAAAGCTGGATGCTTCTAAATTTTTTAATATTGTCTGTATTGCTGTACGGAATAATTGTGAAGAAATAGTTCTTCTATTTTTGAACCGTGGTATTGATGTGAATAATGTTGATGCCAAAGGAAAATCTTTATTACACTTCTGTGTTGATGCTGATCGCAATCAGAAAGACGCCAGATTTAACATAGCTAAAATACTTTTAGAAAGAGGTGCAACTAGCCACATTCCAACTTCAGGAAATTTACTTCTTTTTGACGCAATAAATAATGGACATCAGAAAACAGCTCAATTGTTGTTGTATTATAATGCCAGCATCCACTACATCAATCCTATTAATGGTGATACTCCTCTCCATAAAGCTATAGAGAATAATTTTAATATAGAGTTTATAAAAAATCTGTTGAACCTGAATGCTCCAATTAATGCTGTAAATAATTCCATGCTTACACCACTTCTTGTTGCTTGCAAAATTCCAATAAATAATCAATTAAATATTATTTATTTACTTTTACAATATAATGCAAATATTAATTGTAAAATTGATAATGAAAATATGAATTCACTTTCACCTATTGTTGATTCAATTAAAAATACCGAACAATTTCCAAGCTGGATGGAAGCGAAAGTAAATGATAATCAAAATATTAGAGGTCAAACACCTTTGCATTTAATTTGTAAATATAAAACTAATCAGACTGAGGATATAATAAATTTATTGCTGCAATATAAAGCAAACATTGAAGCTACTGATGCAGAAGGTTGGACTCCACTTTTTGTGGCTTGCTACTCAAATAATTATCCAGCAGTTAAATGTCTTTTGAATAACAATGCAAATGTCTACCATACAGATAATCAAAATCTGAATGCTCTGTATATTTCTGTAAAGCATAATAAATATAATTCTGAAGTCGTCGATGCACTTCTAAAGCATAAAATTAATATTAAATGTATAGACAAACAAGGAAAATCGATATTTCATATAATTGCAGAAAACAATAATCATGATATCATCGAAAATCTTGTTAACGGGAAAGCAAGTATTGATTTGTTTGACAAGAATGGAGATACTCCTCTTCATACCTCTATTAAACACTGCCATGTTAATGTCACTACAGAATTAATAAGTTATGGTGCAGACATAACTATTTTGGATAAAAAAAATCGTTCTCCTCTTCAAATTGCCATGAAGTATATGATAGATGCTCATCAAAATTGTGAAAATTATCGTCTAAGTCGTGAATTTGACGAAAGTAATGGAGCTTTAGAGGAGGATCCTGAAGAAAAGGGCCACAATATTTGGGCTTACATATGCAATTTTGATTCAATTAATGAAACAATAATATCATTACAAAAACAAATTCTTCAATTAAACATCGTCGGATTACCGGTAAATGACTGTGATTTGAAAATAGTTTACGAATTTGATCGCTGTGATGAAATTTCTCCAGAAAATAGGGAGAATTGTGCAATAAATATAGAAGAATTTGAAAAAGAATGTAAGCAAGAAATCGAGAAAATGAAAGAAGAGATAATTGATGGTCGTATGACTTTTTATGATTTACTGAAGAAAAGTATTTATTCTTTGAGTAGATGTGCAAGAAACAAAAAAATTTTGCAAGCTTTGGAAGAACCAGTTTATAATGATAAATTTCCATTATACAGAGAGATTTTTAGAAATCGATTTCGTATGGCCAAATTTCGACACCAAGCCACAAATTCTGTCAGAAAGTATTTTAATACAATTAATCATAAAACATTGCCTGCTGATTGCGTTGATATAATATTGGATCATTTAAACATGGACGACCTAGGAATGATTAGGAATGCTATGAAGTCTTCTAGGAAATAAGCCATACAATTATCCTAAAGAGTAGTATGTAACTTGAATTAGTTCCAATACTGAATGTAAGAAATAATTATTTTCTTAATATTTAAAATTTTTTAAAAAATTACTTGTCATTTTTTGTAATAGTACATTTTTTATAATTATCATTGTCATAATTACTTAGTTTTAAGAAAAATAAAAATACTTTTTTTTATAATTTTTTTAAATGTAATAATATTTATCAATTTTTTAAATTAAATTAATTAAAAAATTCATTTTTAAATCATGTTTTATTAAAAATAACTTTTTTTTTTTTAAATTCGATACAGTTATATTTTATCTATGTTTTTTATTTACACATTTTTTATTATTTAAGTCTCAATAATCTCTGTAAAACAAATAATGTTTAATGTGTTTTCATACTGTAGGTATTAGTGAAAAATAAATAATCTTTTTTATCAATATTTACTTTGTTTTACTTCCTAAAAATCCTGAATGATGAATCCAGTCATTAATTACAATATAAGTAGTAGAAATTTTATTTTATTATATTGAATAAAAATTAATTATTATTGATAAAAACATAATATTTGTAAAAGAAAGAACAAAATATTACCTTTTTCGATCATTTTTTTGTTGCAACTTTATTTGTACGCAATTGTAAATTCGACGAATCCGATTAGCTGACAGAAATAAAACCGGTGTATCAACATAACCTTACCAAGATTTTTCAACGACGTAATTGCAATGACATGAAGTAAGTTAAATTGTTTGTTAGTTATTATTATCTATGTATATAAAAATATTGACAATATTTTTAAAAAAAATGAACAAAAATTTCTAACTAATTTTATTAGTTTTTGATTGGTAAATAAAAATAAGGTTATCTGGTAGACCTGAACATATGTAACCTTGTAAACATTATTTAGAAGTTTAATTGCAATAAAAATCAGTCAGAAAGTTTAGTTGAAAGTAATTATTTAAATAAAAATATCTATAAACGTGTTTGTATGTGAATAATTAATTAAAAATGTCAAATCAAAGACAAATTAAAAATTATGTTATGCTTCGTGATGCAATTAAAAAGAAAAACATCCAAAGAGTTCGAAGTTTAATACAAAAAGATATAAATATTAATACTTTTGATGGAAAAAATAATACCCTTCTTCATTTGGCAATTATTAAATTCGAAGACGTAGATGTTCTGACAATGCTACTTGATAAAGGTGCCAACATTTATGCTTTAAATCACAATCATGATAAGCCACTTGAATTTGCAATCAAGAATAACAAAACACAAGCAGCAGTCTTACTTATAGAAAAAGGAGCTTTAGTTGGAGAAAATCTAAGACCATTGTTGCTTATGGCAATTGAAAAAAATAATCACACCATAGTTAGGAATTTAATTAACTACGGAATGCAATACAATCCGTTACTTGATTTAATAATTCCCTTCACTGTTGCTGTTTCTCAAGGAAAACCTCAAATAATTGAACATATTTTACCGCATTGTCAGTTTTCAAAACCATCAGATAAATATATTCCAAGAGAACTTGTAATCAAATCGGGTCAGCAATACAAGGATTGTGTTGAATTATTGTTGAAATGGAATTTTGTTATCAATCCAACTAGTAATCAAGATAAAAATTTTGTCTATGCAGCTATAGAAAATGGTCACCTACCGATTGTGTTACAATTATTGAAATTAGGAATTGATGTTGACTTAAAAAGTTCAAGAACCGGATTGGATCTATTGAAAGTTGCTTGCTTAAATAAACATTATGAAATTGCTGAGCATCTTTTAAAGAATAATGCTTCTGTAAATACAACGACGCCTACTAGCACCAGAATATTAAATAATCCAACGTATAACTATTGCAGTGCTTCGCTCTTATTCACTTACAATACGAATAATTTATGTGGACTAACATGCTTGCATATTGCCGTTTTAAATTCTGATCCAGTTATGACTAAATTATTGTTGAAATATGGTGCAAAAATAGTAGATGATCCAAAGTTTTTTAACATCACCTGTATTGCTGTACGAAATAATTGCGAAGACATTGTTCGTATATTCTTAGATCGTGATGTTAATGTGAATGATGTTGATTCTGAAGGTAGAAGCCTTTTACATTTCTGTATTAATACTACTGCTCTCAGACCAGATTACAGATACAACATAGCTAAAATACTTTTGGAAAAAGGAGCATCAATCCATCTTCAAAAACAAGGAAGTTCACTTTTTTTTGAAGCCATCAAAAATGGATATCAAAAAATAGCTCAATTATTCCTGGATTATAATGTCAAGATCCAATACATTAGTTCAGATGGTTTTATTCCACTTCATAAAGCAATAGAAAAGGATTTTGATGCAGAGTTTATTGAAAATTTATTGAAACTCAATTCACCAGTTGATATTGTGAACAATGATATGCTTACACCACTATTTATTGCTTGCAAAATGAACTTAAAACATCAAGTAGACATCATAAAAATACTTTTACAATATAAAGCAAATATTAATTGCACTGATAGTACATCAAATACACCCTTGCACATTGCTTGTCAAGCTCGGAACCTAGAAGTCATCACAGTTTTGCTGGAAAATGGTGCTAATCCAAATTCTGCAAATGACGAAGGTCAGACACCTCTTCATTTAGTTTGTGCACAAAAAGATGCAAAAGATGAGTCTACAGATGAAATGACTTTGAAGATAATAGAATTGTTGCTTCAATACAATGCAAATATTGAAGCTGTAGATATGAAAGGCTGGACCCCACTGTTTATAGCTTGTGATGCAAACAATCAAGCAACAATTAAATTCCTTTTGGATAATAACGCGAATGCTGATCACTTGGATTTAAAAAATCTAACTCCTATTTATATTGCTGCACAAAGCTCTAAATATAATTCGGAAATTATTAAACTACTATTGGAACGTAATGTTAGAGTTCATTCAATTAATAACGCAAAAGAATCGATAATCCATATTATCATTAATAGAAATGATGTGAAACTTATAAAAAGCCTTGCTCGCACACAAGTTAGCTTTAATTGTGCTAATAATGAAGGTGATACTCCTCTTCATGTTGCTGTTCAAGATGGATCTTTAAATATGATAAAAAGTTTGATAAAATATGGTGCCAATATTAATATATTAAATAAAAAACATCAAACTCCTCTTCAAAGTGCCATCAAGCATTTGTTTGAGAGTCGAAAGAAATTTGAAAAGTGCCTTAGACGCCGATATTCTATTTGGGACCCTAGTAATCTAAACACGTGGCATAATTCTAGTGACGATGATTCTGATGACTATTTATACAGAATTAATATACAAACATATAAACAAATAATCATATATTTTAAAACACAAGTTGTCAAATTGAAGATTGCAGGAATCGAGGTGAATAATCGAAATCTAAAGACTGTTTACAATTCTGATGATTTTTCTAGCGATGAAGAATTCCCTGATGGAGATAATTTAGATTGTTCAATTGATGTACTACAACTTGAAGTTGATTGTGAGATGGAAATCGTAAAGATGCAAATGGAGAATATTTGCGTTAATAAAATCACCTTTTATGATTTGCTAAAAAATAATCTCCATTTTTTACGTAGATTTGTTAATAATAAACAAATACAAAAAAACTTAAAACTAAAAATCTATGATGAGAAGTTTCCATTGTATATAAACATCGCCCGAAGTCGATTTCGTGATGCGAAACTCCTCCAAGGACTCATAGATTCTAGCAAAAAATATTTTAATTTAAATATCGACCAACGATTGCCTAATGATTGCTTAGAAATGATGTTTAGTTACTTAAATATGAAAGACATAGAGATGTTTATCAGAGCTTTTGAGCCATTATATAGATAGTTTTATTTACACATTGGCATGAAACATGGATTGATTCCGACAATAAGTTTAAAAGAAAATTATTTTTATTTATGTTAAAAGTTTGATTAAAATTTGCGTGTTCTTTATTTTATAGAAGTGTTTTCATTGAAATCGTTTTGTCTCTTAATGACAAAAAAATATTTATATAACAAATGTTATTTCATACTTTAGAGATGATATATAAAATGTTTTGGTAGTTTTGTTTTGGAAATGATATTAAAAAAATAAAATTTATATTTGAAATATTATAAGCTTGTGTGTGTCTGTATGTTAATTTACTTATCTCATTCTGGAAAGTCTTGATGAAAAAATAATTTAAATATTAACAGATTAAGTTATTATTTTATAAAGATGTATACAAGAGCTAAGAAGCCATTGGAAATAATTCTTCTATTTAAATTATTTATGTAAGTTTCGTAACAAAATTATCTGAATTATAATAAATTAATATATTTGTAGAAATGTTATTAAATTTACTAGGGCAATTACACATAATAAAATATCATTATAACTTATTTCTATGCTCACATTTTTATTGTTATTTACAAACTTATCTTAAGTTTATTTTAATCTTTCTTGACACAAAACTTGAATAAAATAGATTAAATTACTAAAATATTGTTTGAAATAGATGATTTCTGTTCAACATTTAAATCATGACAATGCTATCATTAGTTCTACAATGCAAATTTATTTTATTTCATTGGTAATATTTAAAATACATGAATCGTGTTTATATTTTCTTCATTAGTGGTACTGAAATCATCACATACATATGTTGATTCCAATTATTTTTGAATTATTAATAAATTAATGAACAGTTTAATTATCACTAAGCAGATATTTTTAATATTATTTACATGACTTCAGTAATAATGATTTTTAAGAATAGATAGGTAGTTAGGAAGATAGATTTCAACCAATAGACATCGACAATAGTAGTCATGCCACTGATTATACCTATTAAAAATAATTAAAATAGATATTATCAGTCAAACAAAGTGTAATGAAATCAACTTGTTTGAAATAACAAACAGTTGATCCTAATTCCAATATTTCATTTTAACATCAGTATTACTAAGTTAATATCAATTAATAATTAATAAAATCATTTTAGTCTAACGATAATGCTTACTTAATGTAAAAATTAATAATATTAATAATTTTCCAATATCTTATCTTGATTTTATTGACCTAGAATCCTAAATAATTAATTTTTATCATTCCGAAAGCTGGCGACCAATGAAAAAATGATTTGTTTAATAGTATTAAGGTCAGTAGATTCCAATGAAAATATTATGGCTTTATTTTTGTATCTCTAGAGTACACTTGATCGTATTTTCTGAAAAAAATAATTCATTTGCATTAGCATTGGATTACTATAAAATTGAAAAATTGTATGAAAAGTGTATTATTTATACTTACCATCAAATTGATTATTCTTTATGAAAGAATTTTATGTTTAATCATGCTCTAATATCTAGAAAAATATCCATTTTTCAAGTCTTCGTCAATTGATTCTTTTACAGCTCTACATCGTCCTTAATATTGTATTGATAGTTATCACAATATTATAAATTTCATAACAGAAAATAATCAACCAGGAAGAAGTACATAGAAATATGAAGCAAATTTGGAACCCTTGATTATAAGACTTCATGATTAGATTGTATATTTTAACTTGAAAAATAATTTTTTCTGAAATAAAATAGATTAAAAAATAGTAATTCTTTTTGAAGTAAAAAAAAAAAGTTTCACATGAAATAATATTTATTCTTTTATTGTAATACTTACAGAGTGTAATAAATAGCTTTTTAACAGTTAATTTCAATTTAACGATGTATTCTGTTTACAGTGATAAAACAAGTAAGCAAGCTCAGTAGAAACTACTAGAAAGATAATTGCTAGTGACGTCGATAAATATCAATAAAACTTAATGTATAAGTTATCTTTAGAATAATGTATCATCAGTTAGAAGGGATAGCATGACCAAAAAGTATTGGTCGAATCAGTAAAATAAAGAATTAAACATGAGAAGTTTGATTGCTTGGACTCATGTATGTAATCAACAATCAGTAGTGAAGTCATCATCGAAACAAAAAGACGTTGTTCAACAAACTTGACTGTGAAGTCTAAAAAAAAAGTTATTTTAATTAATAATTGAGTGAGTTTAGAAATATCTAGTTATTTTGTAGCATAAAATTATTTGGAATTAAATAATTTACCGAAAATGATGACTGCAGGAGAAATTCTAACTTACGGACTGCTAATTGAAGCAATTAAAAAGAGTGACAAAGAAACAGCCCGAAATATGATACTAAATAATGTTAAAGTTAATAATTATACAACACAAAGCAGTAGTCCGCTTCATTTGGCTATTACTCAATTTGAAGACTTAGATATCATGACACTGCTACTTGATAAAGGAGCTGATATTCATGCTAAGGATAAACACAATAAAAAGCCTCTACATATTGCGGTAGAGAATAACAAAACAGAAGCTGCATTATTGCTTATAGAGAAAGGGGCTCTTGTTGGAGAAGATTTGAATCCATTGCTTCTTACAGCTATTGAAAACAATAATCATGCAATATTTCAATGTTTAATCGATGAGAGACAGCAGTCTGATCAAGATATTGACTTTAATAGTCTTTTCAAGAGTGCTATTTCTCATGGAAATCCAAAAATACTTGAACAAATTTTACCTCATTGTCAATTTTTAAAGGAGTCTGATAGATATGTTCCAAGAGAACTTGTTGTAAAAGCTGGATACCAATACAAAGAGTGCGTAGAGATGTTGATTAAATGGGGTTTCATCATCGATCCAACTAGTAATGAAGATAAAGATTTTGTTTATGGAGCTGTAAAATATGGCCACCTACAAGTAGTGATACAACTTTTGAAACTGGGAATTAAAATTAAGATGATGAAATCGAGTGTAGAGTTGAATCTTTTAAAAATTGCTTGCTTCAATAAACATCACGAAATTGTTGAACTTTTATTAAAGCAAGACTCTTGTTCGGATCCAACTACATGTGATAACTCTGGAACAATAGGGAAATGTTACTACCATAATGGACATGAACACAATTGTCCTCATTCATTTCTTTTTGACAAGAATGATGCATGTGGTAGAATATGCTTATACATAGCTGTCAGAAATTCTGACATAAAAATGACCAAATTATTATTGAAATATGGTGCAACAATAGTTGATGATCCAAAGTTTTTTAAAATCACCTGTTTGGCTATACGAAATAATTGTGAAGAACATGTTCGTCTATTCTTAGATCATGGTGTTGATGTAAATGGCATTGACTCTGAAGGAAGAACTCTTTTAAATTTCTGTGTATTTTGTAGTAATCATGATTTAAAATATAACATTGCTAAATTACTTTTAGAAGAAGGAGGAACTGAACATCTTCAAAAACAAGACAGTCCACTTTTCTTTGAAGCAGTGAAAAATGGACATCGTAAAATAGCCCAATTATTCCTGGATTATAATGCCAATGTTCACTACGTCAGTCCAGAAGGTAATACTGCACTTCATAAAGCTGTGAAAAGAGGTTTTAATGTAGAGTTTATAGAAAATTTATTAAAACTTGGTTTACCTGTTAATGTTGAAAATGATAAGATGAATACACCACTTCTTGTTGCTTGCAAAGCAGAACCAGATAATCAGTTAGAGATTGTCAAACTACTTTTGAAATACAATGCAAATGTTAATTGCAGTGATTCTAGTTCGAACACACCTTTACACATTGCATGCCAAGATCAAAACCTAGAGCTGATTAAAATTCTGCTTGAATCAGGAGCTAATCCCAATGCCGTAAATGAAGAAGACCAAACACCTATGCATTTTGTTTGCAAAGAAAAAACTGATGATACAGGAACTATTATAGAATTGTTGTTGGAATATAATGCAAATATTGAAGCTGTAGATGCTAAAGATTGGACTCCAATCTTCTATGCTTGTGAAGCAGTCAATGATATTGCAGTTAGATGTCTTTTGGATCTTCAAGTTGATGCTAATCATACTGATTTAGATAATTTGACTCCTCTGTATATTGCTGCAAAACATTGTAGATATAATTCTGAAATTGTTAAAATATTACTAAAACATAAAGTTAATGTGCATTGTATTAACAAATGGGGAAAGTCAGTTATCCATGCTGTTGTTGAGAATGATAATGCAGAGCTCGTCAAGTATCTTGCTCGTACGCAAATCAATTTCAATACTGTCAACGAAGATGGACGTACTCCTCTTCATACTGCTGTTAGAAACAAATGTGTTGATGTTACTAAAGAATTGATAAAATATGGTGCTAATGTTAATATTATTGATAAAAAAAATCGAACTCCTCTTCGAAATGCTATAAGATGGAGACATAATTTCCATTATGAAAGAAAAAAAGATGAAATAGAAGAGATAATTAGAATTTTGAAAATACAAATTATTAAATTGAAAGTAGCTGGACTGAAGGTGAATGATCAAAATATGAAGTTAGTTTATGATAATGATACAGAGAGTCATGATGAAGTTGTTAATCAAGATGATATAGATTATAGAATTGATATACCACAACTTGAGAGTGACTGTGAGAAGGAAATTGAAAGAATGAAAATGGAGAATATTGGTATCAATAATTGGACTCTTTATGATTTTCTAGAGAAAAGTATTCATATTATGAGTAGATATGTCAGAAATTTCCAAATCCAACGAACTTTAAATCTTCGAATTTATGATGAAAGATTTCCATTGTATATAAACATTGTAAGAAGTCGATATCGTGATGCTAAACTACGATATAGACTAATGGATTCTGCCAAAAATTATTTCAGTTCAATTATATCTCCACGATTGTCTGATGATAGTATGGATGCAATATTTAGTTACTTAAACCTTCAAGAGATAAAGATGGTTATCAGAATTTTAAGGCCATTGAAGAAACAATCAGCATTATTAAATTCTAATTGATTTCAATGATCAGTGTAAGGAGTAATCATTTTTTCAATATTAAAAATTTATATACTATTCATTTAAATATACAGAATTTATGTATTATTCTTATAATCTTAATACTTTTTAATAAAGTTGAAGATTTCTGTACAACAAATATCATTTGATAGTTTAAGAATGATCGTTAGTGTTTATATTTTCAGAATAATGTTTGAAAGAAGTAAAAATTATATTTAACAATAGCATAAGTAAATATGTTAAAGGTGTGTACTGTTATAATGTTTTCAATTATGTCAGTTTTAATAAACAAAAATTAAATTTGTTTATTTTTTACAGTAGTTTTATATCATTATCTTAATTGTCTTCCAAATCAAAATTTTTTAAACCTATTTGTTCTTTTAAACATGAAAATAATAAGTCAATGAGATCAATACGTTAATTATTTGTAATTAAAAAATTAGTATAAAGTAATAAATCTTTAATAATAGAAGAGTTTATTCTTTTTAATTTCTCTTTGAAGACTTTAAATCATTTAAGTCTTTTTTTCCGCTTTATCTTGAGAGATTGGTCCAAACCAATCTCTGCTGGGAGAGAATAGATTTCTAATTTCTATGATTTTAGAAGGGAACCTATTCTTTAACATATGCCACATGACTCCACAAAGGTAGAGAAGAATAGAAGGACTACAGTCAAACCACCAAAAGAGTGCTGGGATTAATTTAGGTTCGAGCATTTGATTTTAACTGTTTTAGATATAAAAATATCTAAAAATTTGTCTAAATCAGTGAATAATAAATAGAAAAAAAATGTCACTTATAGAACTAAACAGTCAATGTGCTCAGTTTAATGAAGCAATTAAAGAAGAAAACTACGAACTGCTTCGAGATTTGATTGAACCATTATCACTATCTGATATACATATTCCAAGAGAAATGGTCATATCATCTGATTCAAAATTTCAAAAAGGTGTTGAGTTATTGTTAAGATGGAAGTTCATCATCTATCCAATCAGTAATCAAGATAACTATTTTGTTTATGGAGCTGTAAAAAATGGCCATCTGCCAATTGTTTTCCAACTATTGAAATCGGGAATTGATGTTAACTGGGTGAATCCAAAAACTGGATTGAATCTGTTGAAAATAGCTTGATTAATAACCATTACCACAATACCTACCAACATTCAAATATTGGATCATCTCTTGTCTAAATATGAAGATCGCAGGAAATTACGTTATTTAATGACAAAAAATTGCATAGGTGTAACGTGTTTGCACATAGCCGTTTTAAATAGTAATTCAATGATGATAGAACTTTTATTAGATCATGAAGCAACAATAATTGATGATCCAGATTTTTTATATATCACTGGTATGGCTTTACGACTTGATTATGGAACAATTGCTCGACTATTCTTAAATTATGTTCCTGATGTAACACTATACTGCACCAAGCTGTAAAGGGTGTAAATGATATTGAAGTTATTAACTCTTTATTAAAACTTAATGTACCAGTTGATTCTGTAAATAATAACATGATAATACCACTTTTGTTTGCTTGTATTAATGTATCAAGCAACCAATCAAAGATTATTGAAACTCTTTCACAACACAATGCTAACATCCATCATACTATTTCCAACGTGAATCCAAGTTTTCCTTCAAATTTAAAAGGTTGTTGTCTTTTAATGGGCAATAAAGTTTATTTTGATGGTCAAACAGCTCTTCATATTGTTTGTAAATACTGGAATGACCAGAATATTGTAAATATAATAAAACTATTGTTATAATATAATGCAGATATAGAAGCAGTGGATGATAAAGGTTGGACCCCACTTTTTGTAGCTTGTTTTTCAATTAATAATCGAGCAGTTGAATGTCTTCTAGATCATCAAGCGAATCCTAATCATACTGATTTAGCAAATCTCACTCCTCTTTATTTTGCTGCAAAACACTCTGAAAATAATTCTAAAGTTTTGCACCAGCTTTTGGATTATAAAATCAATTTTCATTGCATGGATAATCAAGGGAATTCAATCATTCATTTGATTGCTGAGAATTATGAAGATGCAGAGTTTATCAAACGTCTTGCTTCGACTTATATAAATTTTAATTCTGTCAATAAAGAAGGAAATACGCCACTTCATATTGCTGTTAAAAATAATGCTGATGATGTGATTCAAAATCTCATAAAATATGGTGCTAATGTTAATATTCTGTATAAAAGAAAACGAACTCCTCTTCGCAATTCTGTAGATTATTTATTATCTTGCCACAAGAAGTATAAGAAACTTCAGAAGTATTGTAATCGCGGGTTCATGAGGAGAATCTCTTCGGATGATGATTTTCCTGAAAGTTTGATGGATTTTGATGACAGCCATGATTCATTTTATTGTGTACGCATAATAAGACTTCTTAAAATATAAATAATAATGTTGAAACAAAATCAAGAAATGGTTTATAAGCCTGAATACTATGGTGATAAATTTTATAATGAATATGAAAATGATACCATTAATATACGGAGCATGGAAAACGAATGTGAGCAGGAGATTGAAAGAATGAAAATAGAGAATATTGGTATCAATAATTGGACTCTTTATGATGTGTTCAACAACAATATTGATTTATTGGGTAAATATGTTAAGAATAAACACATAAAACAAATATTGGCACAGTTATTTGAAACTTAAAGAATTAAAGATGATTATTAGAGCTATAAAACCATTTCATAAATCATTAGATTCTGAAAAGAGTATCAAACCCAGATTGGTTTCAACTAGTCCGAAAATTGAAAGAAGCCCAGGATGGGAGGAAGACTTACGTAGAATGATCAAAAATTTACAATCACGTGCCGATAACTGGATTTTCTGAAAGAGACAGGCGTAAGATTTTCGTTAGGAAATGTAAAGTCATAAATGAATGGCAATTTGACTTAGAAAAGAAACGTAAGTCTGATGAAAATTTTTAGTTCAAGACTAGTTACTAGGGTATAATCTATAAAAGAATTACTTTTTATTCTTAAATATTTTTTCACAAATTTACTTAAAGATTTTATATTTTGAATGTATTCATTATATTTATATATTTCATCAATGTATTGTTATTATAATGTTATATTATTTAAAAGCAAAGTAGTTTTATAAAGCTAATATTATTTGATAAATTGCAAAATTATTTATAAAATATTTTTATTTTCATAATAATATGTGGAGAATAAAACATATGTATTTGATATATAATATTTGATATATAATAACTGGTGTGTTCGTTTTATATTTTGGTATTTTCCTTAAATACGTTAGGATACAAAAGTAGAAATATTTTCTTGATTGTCACGCAGGTAGTCCAGACACAACGTGACAGCTGTTCTATTGCATTTCTCGTACCTGAACCTTTCTTCTTTAGTTTCCCAAGGACCCATAAACTTACTACCAAACTAGCGGAATTTCCACGAAAGAGTTTTACAGACGTGATAGTAAGCAGAGTAATTAACTTGCATGTATTAGAAAAAGAAGCCATGGGGACTGCTGGAGAGTGGGGATCACCAATCTTCTTCATAAACATCAGAGAAATTTTCAGTTCCGTTCGAATTAATTACAGTTGTAGGTATTAAAAACTAATCAATTACTTATCACCAAGTCGTTTTATTCAGTTTAAATAGGGTGAGAAGGATGTCTGAGTAAAAATATCTGCAAAAGAATATTGAATGTTTTTCATTTGAAGATGAATCAACAAAAAAGCCTACAGGTTCTTCCTCCTGATTTGGAAAGCCAATTTATTTTGAGATTACCTCCAGTAAATTATAATTTTACTTTCGATTAATTATTATTCTTGTATTTGTGAAATCGTCCTTTTTAGGTTATGAATAAATATATTTTATTTACTATTGTTTCTTTGTTGTTTTTCTAGGAACCAGCTAAGGTTTTAAAGGAATTATTAAAGCATGATCATTTATTAAAAAATAGATTATCCATTAAAATTAATGATGATATGAGGTATGGCGAAATTAGGTTGGATAACTGGATATTACATGCAAAGGTATGAATTTATTTGACTTTCGTTATCTTTTCAAACTGAACAAATAGTTGTTAAGAACTGATGTTTACTGTGATTTTAGGTTGTTGATTTACCAACAATTGTGGAATCTCTAAAAACTATGGATCATAAAAGTTTTTATAAAACAGCTGATATTTGCCAGGTATTTAAATATATCAATTCTCTATTCAATAATAAATCTTTAAACGTAAACAAAAGAGGAATTTGTGAACAATAAAATTTATATTCTACAGATGGTCATTTGTAAAGAGGAAGATGATCGTATAATCGATGAAAAAGTGCAAGTAGAACAACCAAAACAAAAAGATTCGAATAAAGTTGATCGACAATTTTGGTGGCCACATGGTGTTACACCACCGCTGAAGAATGTTAGAAAAAGAAGATTCAGAAAAGTATTGAAGAAAAAAATTGTCGAGACCCTTGAGATAGAGAAAGAGATTAAAAGATTATTACAAGTCGATAATGATGCAGTGAATGTTAGATGGGAAGTAATTTATGAAGAAATAGAAGATATCAAATCTAGCAAATGCTCCAATTCTGAAATTATGAATGAAAAAACAGAAACAAACAGTTCATTTCAAAGTGTCGATCTAATATCTCGTAATACAGTCGAACATGATATATTTGGTGAAGCTATAAGTGACAGTGACGATGAGAATGAAAAATTGAAAATTGATCAGATAGAATTGGATGAAAGTAGTCAATTATCTATTGACAGCCAGCATTTTGATTTCAATTCAAATCAGGGAACCGATTCTCAGCAATCTCAACAGAGTACTGATCGTTAGGTGAAGTATTTACAGATAATATTTACATACTTCCACATTGAAGTTAGTTTAATGCCATACCTTTATATATATATATATATATATATATATATTTATTCAAGTAAATAAATATAAATCGTTGAATTGATCCATCATTTCTATAATATTTACGAATTAATCAACTGAGAAAACTAGTTTGTATATTTATTTAAAATGTATTGTAATTAATGTAAATATAGACTTTCAAAATTGTAACATTTACCATTTTTATCAATAAAATATTATTAATTACTTTTTAACAAATAAAAATGTGACGTAGAAAATTGATAATTTTATTTAATTTCGATTGGTTTTATTACTTTATAGAAATCATAAATCATGAAAGCTGGGTTGTATTTAGATATTATCATCATGAATTGTTCTCCAAGGACTATAATTTATTTATTTTTTTTATGTAAAAGATAATTATAAATTATCTAAAAATATGGTATACAGGATTGTATTCACACTTTTATGAAAAGAAAAGCAGTGATAAAATGATAATAATAATTGAAAAATGAACAGCTGATGAAAACTGGGTCCGTCATAACACTTGGCTAAAAATCATTTTTTGTGGTTTTTATTTATTTTAATTATTTCAAGTTTATTTTAAAAAAGGGAGAGTCTATAATTCTAGAAAAATGTCTTACTTTTTGATTAAGATCTAGTAATAATATATCATAATATAATATATGATAATATTTAAATATCATAAAAATGGAAAAAACTTTTCAATTTCAATTATTCAACATACAGAAAAATTTAGATTTTTAAATAAAAAACAGGGCATTTTTTAGATCTAATTTGATCTACTCATTTCTAAATAAACTAAAGAAAATTTTATCCAAGTAAATCTGTGTAAATCTAGTGAGATTACTGTATATCTACACAAATTACTGTATGTCTATGAAGATCTCCATTAATCTTGATGATAAAAAAAATTTAATGCGTCTATAGAAGTCATAAAATATCTAAAGTAAATAAAACAGATGTACACAGAACAAAGTAGATCGAATTATGCCAAAAAATAAATATCAATAGATCAATGTAGATCTGTTTCATTTTTCCCGGGTATGGCGGCTGTACTAAGCCCAATATCACCTTTAAGCTTCGGCAAGAAATACGATGTTTTACCGAACTCTACCTGAAGTAGTCCAGTAAATATAGAAGGCTTTGTCCCATTTGTGGCCACATTTTTGTACAATTATCAATTTTTAATTTTCTCTCCATTAATAATATAAGCAATAATAATTAAAAATTCATGTCAAAATTAAAAAATCAGCGCACTTTCGCTTCTAAGTACATCTATTCTATAAGTCATTGTGGATATTTTAACTTTAAAAAATTAAAAATTACTAATTATACAAAAATGTGTCCACAAATGGGACAAAGCCTCCTATATTTACTGGACTAAAGGAGCTTTAGGAAAGACCAAGGTCTATAGATGGAGAGGGTACTTGGTCGCCATCCCCTCTCCATCTACGAACCTTGGAAGGACTACCAAAAGTGGAGGCTTTTGGGTTAATCAGTTCCGCCATTGTTGACCGTTAAGACCTTCTGTGCCTAAAAAACGTGTTCGTATCTGTGTTTTTGAATATTTGGTGTTGATATTTTTATTACGTATCATTAATATCATCACAAGTATTAACGTTAATTAAGTGAAAAGCAAGTTATTATTTGAATAAAATTATCTGCAAGCTTGTTTAATAGTGTGCTGAACAAAATGGCAGGTTTACAAGATAATCAAAGATACGCCATACTTTGTAAAGCCATTAAGAAAAGAAACAAAGTGAGAGCTCGACAAATGATATTAGATAATGTTCAAGTTAATGATCCTGCATCAAAAAACAACACTCCTCTTCATTGGGCCATTATTCATTTCGAAGATTTAGAAATCATGACGATGCTACTTGATCGAGGAGCTGATATTCATGCTGTAAATCTTTATGAATTGAAACCACTCGACATTGCTGTTCACAGCAACAAGACTGAAGCAGCATTGTTACTTATAGAGAGAGGAGCACTTGTCGGTGAAAATTTGAACGCGCTGCTATGTAGAATATTGGAAATGAACAATCTTATATTATTTAAAAGTGTATTCAATAACAGAAGACAAAGTGATTACAGAATTGATTACAGGACTTTATTCAACGAAGCTATTTGTCGAGGTTGTGCCGAAATACTTGAATATATTTTACCCCACTGTCTATTTTTAAAATCAGAAGAACGATATATTCCACCAAATTTGGTACTGAAGTTTCATCGAGGATACGAAAACTGTGTAGATGTATTATTAAAATACAATTTCACAGTTCATCCAGACAGCTATCAAGACGAAAATTTCATTTTCAGAGCTGTGGAACGTGGTCATGTTTCAATTGTCACACAATTGTTGGAATGGGGTATTGATGTTAACATGACCCATTCAGTGACAGGTACAAGTCTCCTGCAAATAGCATGCCTGGAGAAAAATCATAAAATTGTTGAAAATCTTCTGAAATACAATGCTTCTTTAACGCCGAAAGAAAAAGTTCCTCCTTCAAATAATTCACCTGGTCATTCATTGTTATTTATCGCTGCAACTAATTGTGATCCAGTTACAGCAAGATTATTATTACAATATGGTGCGAAAATAACAAATGATCAATCATATTTTCTCATCACCTGCATTGCTGCACACGCCAATTGCGAAGAAATTGTTCGTATAATGTTGGATCATGGTGTTGATGTGAATTTCAATAACATGGATGGAAAATCGCTTTTGGATTCTTGTGTTCGTGATGGTCCTGCAGATTCAAGATATAACATCGCTAAATTACTTTTAGAAAGAGGAGCCATCTCTCAAATTCAAGTTCCAGGAAATTCATTTCTTTACGAAGCAGTAAATGGTGGACATCATAAAATAGCTCAACTATTCTTGGATAATGATGCTGATGTTCACTTCGTCAACCCAACAGGTGATACGTTACTTCATAAGGCAATAGAAAAGAATTTTAATGCAGAATTTATAAAAGCTTTGTTACAACGTAATGTACCAGTTGATTCTGTAAATGATCAAATGCTTACACCACTTTTTCTTGCTTGCCAAACTAGATCAATGAATCAATTAGAGATTATTGAAGCTCTCTTACAACACAACGCAAATATCAATTATACTCTATCAAACGTGGATAAGTGTTTTCCTCCGGGTTTAAAAAGTCATATACTTGCAATAAATTTAGCATGTTATGCTGATGGTCAAACACCTCTTCATTTTATTTGCATGCATCGAAGTGATTTTACTCGGAGTATAATACAACTATTTCTGCAACATAATGCAAACATTGAGGCTAAAGATAAAAGAGGCTGCACACCACTCTTAGTTGCCTGTAAAATAAGTAATGACACTGCAGTTAAATGTCTTCTGGATCATCATGCAGATATTAATTGTACTGATTTAGAAAATTTCACTCCTCTTTGGGTTGCTGTGAAACATTCTACACACTATTCTGGAGTTGTTAGAATATTAGTGGAAAATAAAATTGATGTTCACCATGTCGACAAACAAGGGAATTCAATAATTCATGAAATTGTTGAGAGGAATCAAGGTGAATTGCTCAAGACTCTTTCTCGTAGTGATGTCAACTTCAACTCTTTGGACAAAGACGGTAATACTCCGCTTCATCTCGCTGTTAACAAGAAATGCTATAATATTATTGAAAATCTGATAAAGTACGGTGCTGATATCAATTTTTTGGATAAAAACAATCGAACTCCTCTTCAAAAATTAAATGATAAATTATTTATTCCAAGTATACATTGTTTTGCTTCTAATAAAACACCTCCATATTTTACGACACAAGTATTGAAATTAAATATCGCTGGATTATATGTGAATGAACACAATTTAAAAATAATTTTTGATCATTGTAATAAATGTAAGATTAATAAAACAGGAGGAATTGATTGTAAAACTAATAGACTACAATTTGAAGAGGAATGTAAAAAAGAAATGGAAAAGATGAAAATGGAGAAAATTGGTATTGGAAACATGACTTTTTATGATTTGCTTAGAAATAATATTTATTCTCTAAGTAAATATATCAAAAATGAAAAAATGCAACAAATATTGGACCTTGAAATTTATGATGAAATGTTTCCATTATACATGGATGTTATAAGAAGTCGACTTCATGATGCTACACCGTTTAGTATGTTAATGAATCTTGTTAAAGAACATTTTTGTATGAATGTTTACCAAAGAATGCCTGAAGATTGCATTGATAAACTATTTAGTTACCTACATATCCAAGAAGTAATGAAGTTTATTCAAGCGGTTGAGCCAACAAATATATCGTCTTATTTGAATAACATGAATTATTTGGAATAGATTTCGATTACAGATATAAATTATTTTTGATTTATACTTAGAGTTTAATTGTAAATATACTTAACCTTAATTATCATATAATTATACTTTAATGTCTTTGCAATAATTTAGAAATAATTACACGACTTTGCTGTGTACCTTTTTTATAATAATATTTATAAAATATAAAAATCATATTTAGATAATTAATCATGTGTGTTATATTTTAAAATTTTTATAATGTTCTCATGTGTTCATAATAATAAAGAGTAATTCTTGAAAAATTAATTTTTATATTTTCCTAAAAATTTTTAATAATAAGTTGATATATCAATTATTATAAATAATTATTTTTTAAATTTTAATATAGACAATGAGTTGAATAATAATGTTAATAATTTATTTGATATTAAAATGACAGGATAAGTATAAATATCGATGATTTTTCTTACATATAAAAACATGTTATAAGTATGGAAAAACTTCAGAAATTCAAAAAAAATTTTTTATAAAAATAAACTTTTTGATGGTAATTTAAAACAAAAAATTAATCAGAATTGTCAGCATATATTCAAATTCAGAAAATCCACCTAGCAATATTGGTTTATATTATTTTGGAGATATAGTTTTACTAACCTTAATAATTATTCAATTTTTATACCAAATATTTCCTTCTCGATATACATATTTAAAAATGACAAAAATCTTTCATCAAATCTACCACGTCAGTTCACCAAAATACATGACTTTTAATAAACACATATTATTTATAACAATTTTATTGTGCTATAAACAAAAAAATATCTATTGTTTGAATACATTTAAGGTTGTTCGATCACAACTAATAGTATAGTATAGGAAAAACCGATATTAAAATTTAATTTAAAGATAAATGGCAATATTTGATATTAAATAAAACTTGACAATTAGAATTGTTTAAATACAAAATTATGAAACTTTTGATCGTTTTGTTCACAAGAAATCTTAATTTATTTGTGCCATTGGGTTCAGTGTTTAACCTAACTTTTAACCGAACTTTATACATTTATTATTGCTAAACTAAACTGTGAAATTTATTGATAAAGCGAACTTGATTTCTCTGAATGATTACCTATCACTTTTGAAATTTTTATAAATTAATCTTTAAAATCGCTAAATGATCGAACAACCTTAAGGTTATAAAATTATTAAAATTCAATTATGTTAATACCGATCTTATCCGAGCAGGTTACACATCATTTAATCGTTAAAAGGTATTTTTAATCATTTATAACAAAATAAAATTGTTATAAACTCTTCAAGAAAAATATGTAGATGTCGAAATACAGTGAATATACCTAAAATGCGAATTGTTAAATTAAAGATTGCAGAATTCATGGTGAATAAAAAGAACAAGGAAATAGGTTATAATTTCAAGAGCTATATGTATAGTATATATAATAGTAATGTTGAATATTCTGATAAAAATGATAGAAATAATACCAAAGATATACAACAATAGGAATCGAAATTTGAGCAGGAAATTTTAAAAAATGAAAAATATTGGTGCCAACAATATGACTCTTTGTAATGTGCTAATGGAAAATATTTATTATCTTAGTAGATACGTAAAGAATCAAACAATTTAACAAACATTAAATCTATACTTTTATAATAAGATATTTCCATTATATAGATATTATAAGAAGTCAATTCTGAGATGCTTAATTGCGATTTAAAATAAGTCAATAAAGCAAAAAAAGTTTTGCAGTTTCAATGTACGTCCACGATTTCCTGATTATTGTATACATTTAATGTTTTGTTACTTGAACCTGAAGAAGTAAAAATGATAATAAGACCTATAAAACCATCTTATCATTAATGGTACTTAATAACGAGTATTAAACTTAGATTGGTTCCGATTATGAATCAATGAAAGAGTTTTTTTTAAGTATTTTTTTTTATTTTTTTTAAAATTATTTTATCAATGTGTTTCTATTTCGTAATTTTGTTCTTAAAATATGACAAGTTTTCTTAATACTGTTAAGAAGATATCAAATCACAACAATGAACTATTTATTTGATAAAAAAATTGAAGTATTACTTAAAAAAGTCTAAGAAGAATTTCTGTTTATAAACTAATAATATAGTACAGTTTTTTTATGAATCATCATTGATATGTCAATCAAGCATACATAATAATTACATGCTTAAAAAAAAAATAACAACTTAAATAAATAAAAACTATTTACAATTATCAATTTGATTGTCATAATCTCACATGTCATCAGTAAACCAATCTGAATCTCTTTGTAATCTCAATACCGATTTCTTTGTTGTCCGCCCTACTTTCTTAGATACTGAACACCAATTTATAAAGTAATCAATAATACCAACAGCATTCATTTCACATAAATAATCCATAAAAAAATCATTCATCTCGGAATGGATTATTTTTTCTTTTTTGAACCTTACAATCTCTCTTTCGGATTCTAAAAACCAACTTAAAAATTGCAATGATTCCCATGTGGACTGTTGAATATTTAACTTATGCCTTTTCCATATTTTATAAATTCGTTCAATTGAAAATATATCACTTTTAAAATGATCTCTGCACTTCTTTCGCTCTTCTTCTGTCTTGAATTTCCAAATCAACAAATTATTTGCTGCATCATATTGTTGTCTTTCTATAAGATCTTTACATAGACTAATATGATCAATATTATTCTTGATGGAGTCCTCTTCTTCAGGTGTAACATCTTGCCAGTTCAATAGTTTATCTGCAATTTGGAATTGATTATTGTTTATCAAAAGATGCCAAACATTGATCGTCTGTTTAAAAAATTTCTTCTCTATTGTTGATTTGAAAATTTCTTCCATAAACTCATCTAGCTTTTCAAACTGATCTTCAGCAATTAATCGTTCGTAAGATTCTGATCCAAGCTCTATAAATTCATTCCTGATAGCTGCAATTGCTGGATCATTTAATATCAATTTTAAACTATTTATGTCCCACACATTTATTAAATCACATACAAATTTATAATTCACATCTTCACCAAGCATGTTCTGTTTCGTAAATTCTGGAATAATACGCCAGGCTTGATATAATAAGGTACGGTATTTGCTTGTTTCTGTAGAATATCCTAGCTCATACTCTTCAACTAGTTTATTTGTAATTACGTCCATGAATGTACAGACCATGGTATTATCATAGTTTTGGAATTTCACTACGTCCTTCAATACAGACACAAAGAGTTCCTGCCATGGCCATGATGACAATAACATTTTCAATATTTCGTTTCTTGGATCTAGTAACTCAACATTGTATACTCCATATGATCTTATTTTTGTGGTAAAAAATAACTGCTTATCATTCGCCGTCATCTGAGATATTAAAAACATGCATATTTCAACATATTGCCCTCTCATGTAGTCTTTGATGGTGTGATTCATTTTTTCATAATAGTTGTAGTTCTCGACAGTCTTGCAAGCAAATTCTAATAAATTTATATTCCTATGCTCTTCTGGGATCTTGCTCCAAAAATATTTTGTTGCAGTGCTGTATCCCTCATGCACTGATAATTTTAACATATTCACCTCCGGTGTGAGATTTTGATCATACATAAAACTCAACTCTGCTAGATGTTCTTCAGAGTCACCTGCCGCTGATTCAAAATACTTTATTAAATTAGGTAAAGTATTATCTCTCCGACATTTCCAATATGCCAAAATGTGCCTATTCAAACGGTTGAAAATGTCTTCATAATTATTATTTTGTATATCATTTGGTATTTTATGCCACAATTGATCAATGTGCTCTTCCACAGCGTAGCTGCAGGCAATATCATACACTTTTGTAGCACTCAAATTTGGATTATCCAACCAAAAGGTCTTTAGTGTTTTTGCTCCGTCTATATTACCATAACTTGTCCAGTGTAACTTATCAATGTAATTCAAGGATATATTTTCAACTTCGAATGAAGGCTGATCTTCGTATTTAATAAATTGATACATATCAAATAAATTTTCACCTATGATTTTCACAAGATGCATCACTTCGGCTTCTAATAGTTGAGGTAATTTCTCGTCATAGAATTCGTTCATTACGTTCTTGGTGAATTCGCGCCATCGGTCCTTGACTTCATTGGTATAGAACTGATCGTTGTTCTGAAAGAATTGCACTATTCTATCTTTTACTTCTTGCTTCGTCCAAAATAATATCGCAATCTTTACTCCTGCTCTTTGTTGCAAACCAAAGTTCAGCTCGTATGTCATTTTTAGGGTATTTTCTTCTTGTAATTGGTTAAAAAAAAATGATTTTATAATTGAATAAAAAAATATTAAATTATAACATATTAAAATAAATAATAAATAAAATAATATATAATTATATTTAAAATAAAATCTTGCCAATAGAAACAACTCTTAGTTTGTCAAAATCTTTGTGTAATATTATTGTCCAACTGCAACAAGCTTGAATGAAAAGTCTCTTTGGTAGCACAATACACACAAGCAGAATAATAATCCAACAATTAGACTGAATTTAGTATTTATTGAATACTGAGATGACACAGACAAGGTGATCCGATGCATAGGGTAGTTCATTCAACAAGAAAGCTACGCCTGTGTTGAACGAGGATAAATACTCTACCTATGCTATCTAGCTCACTTCTGATTGGATATTGGAGAGACCGAGGGCAGTACTTTCTATGAATATTTTGCGCATGTACACTAAAAAGCATGCGCAATGGCACAGGTGTCAAATTAAGAAAATTTTTGAAAATATTTTAATAATAAATAATAATTTTTTTTAATTGAAAATTATTGAAGACAAATTGAATCTTTACTTATTCAAAAATTTGGAATACTTTTTTTTTTTTAGAAATTTCTTTCAAAATATTTAACAAACTTTTTTCCATTCTTCATCTATCAAAAAGCAGAAAATGTCATATTTTGCTGAATAATATTAGTATACTTTATATTGAATGATTAAACTGTAAATTAAATATAAATATTAGATGGAAAATCCAGTCATGTCATTAAAAATTAATTTAACTTTTTCAAATCTATTTTAAATATCAACTGTCTTTATTCTGAGAATTTACTCGAAAACAGACATCTAGATTTTACGAAGGACATTAGCGGATATTCCCATCATTAAAGCTGAATATTTAATACGCTATCCTTAGCCAGGTCATCTTTTGTTCACAACCTTATGAGGGCTGTGACCTTCAACTATCCTCATAGTATTATTAAACATAAATACTTACAACCAGTATTTACATTTAATTTGTCCTTCCGAACATAAAATGTAGGTAGAATATTCTAGTGCTGTTCAACACTTACTCCCATTACTCCCCAGGTTATTTCTCTTATTCTTTGAAAGAGTGGAAGCTTATTCACCCCTGGAATATTGGGAAAATTTTAAAACCTTTAAAATATTTTTTTTGAAGAATGAAAAGAAACCTAACGGTAAATAAGTATTTAAGACTGTTACCTGTTAGAATTTTGCAAATAATGTTACTTATTATCTATGAACTCCTGAGACACTGTCTTGACAAAATCATTTTAATAAAAACTTCTTTAATAATGTTAAGAACAAATTGATAAGTTATTAGTAATTTATAAAGTATATTTAACAAATAGTTGATAATATATTGATTGTTTATAAAAAATATACAAGTAGAATTATTTTTATAATTATTAAAAGACAGATTATTGTAGTACACACATTACGCAAGTACTCATATTTATAAAACAAATAGTCAGTCGATAATTGTAGCAGATCCGATATGTAATTTATAAATACAAATAATGATAAATAGACATAGCTGTTTAGTTATTTAACAATAATTACTAAAAACATAGTAATTGTTTAAATTATTGAATATTCATTGTATTTTTTATATTTTGAAAACATACATTACGCATACAAATATACACACACCAAAAAAAAATTACTTATATTTATCGTCTGAATTAAAATATATTTATACAATTATTGAAATCTGATGATTAAGTTTAACAGACTAGTTATTAATTTAATTTAAATTTTTCATAGTTGAAATAAACATATTCAATTCTTTAACATGTAAATAACTTAATATTTTCATTATACATTCATCAGGCAATCGTTGATTGATATTTAATCTGAAATAATCTTTTGCAGATATCTCCAACAAATATCGTTCATATCGGTTTTTTGCATTACGAAATCGATTTCTAATAATATTAATATATAATGGGAACTTTTCATCGTAAACTTGTAGTTGTAATTTTTGTTGAACTTCGTCATTTTCAAACAAATTTTTAAGAATATAAATATTTCCTTTCAATAAATGATAAAAAGTAAGATCATCAATACCAATTTTTTCTTCCTTTATCTTTTCAAGTTCTTGCTCACATCTAGATTCGAGTTGTGATATATCATCAATGGAATTTCTTTTATTAGAAACTTTAAGCATGTTATAATTACTAGAACAGGAAGCTACATTTAGTTGTAAAATATCCATTACATAATACTTCCTATTATCAATAGTTATGTATTCATCAGATTTATAAACTATTTTTGAATGTTGGTTCTTCAACTCTAAGCCAGCAGTTTTCAATTTAATTCTTTGTGATACAATAGCTTTTATGATCATTCTAAACTTTCTGCAAAATTCAGGACTGTTAATTCTAGAATAATATATCATCTTCTCAATAGCAATATGAAGAGGAGTTAAATTTTTTGAATCAATATGATTAGGATTAGCATAATGATTCAATAGACATTGAATTACTTCATAATGCTCGAAATGACAGGCAAGGGAAAGTGGTGTCTGGCCACGATTATTAACAGCTTCAATATTTGCACCATATTCTAGTAATAATTCTATTCTCGGAACTACATCACCCCTAGATGTACAAACTATGTGAAGGGGGGTTTGCTGTGCATAATTTCGAGCATTAACATTTGCTCCTTTGACAAGAAAACTTTTGATAAATCTTAAATTTGAAATATTACATACAAAGTGTAAAGGCGTCATCATAAAATGATCATCACAATTGACATTTGCACCATAGTGTAAAAGCAGATCAATAATACGTACACCTACGTCAAGTTGTTCAGATAAATTTCGACAAGCAATCATAAGTGGTGTAATTCCTTCGTTATTGATAAAATTTACTGAAGAATTTAATTTTAACAAAGTTTCTATAAATCTTACATCAAACTTCCGTTGTAGAGCTATATGAAGTAAAGTATCACCATTTTGACCAATATATTGAGTATCAGCATTATAATCAAGTAATAATTGAGCTGTTCTATGATGATTATATTTCATTGCTTGGAAAATAATGTTTTGACCTGGAATTCGAGTGTTTGCTCCTCTTTCTAAAAGTAATTTAACAACGTTGTAACTTTTATCTTTTACATCAGGGTTGAAATAAATACAGAAATGTAAAAGAGAATTTCCCAGAGGATCAATGTCATTCACACTAACACCTTGATCCAAAAATATAGAAACAAGTTCTTTACAATTGTTATGTACAGCTATACGAATTATAGTAGAGAATGTTGGATCATTCTCAATTTTTGCGCCATATCTCAATAACAGTTGTGTCGTTTTCCAATCAGAATTGAAGACAGTAATATGTAGACATGTCACTTCAATTGAATCAGTTTTATAATTATAATTAGATAATAATTGGCGATATACAGACAAATTGATAGAGAAAGTCATTTGATTATTCAATCTTTCATTACTAGCAGGTATTGACACATTTACGTTCACATGATGTTCTAAAAGTTTTTCAATAATCTCATAATGTTTATTTAAACAAGCGATCAATAGTAAATTAAGCCCTGTTTTTGTATTCATCATATTAACATCAATTCCATGCTCTAAAAGTTTTATAACTATTGGTAAATGTCCATTTTCTACAGCTGCATAAATAAAATCATTATCAGAATAGCTGATTGGATCAATAGTAAAGTTAGACGTCATCAATAACTCCATACATTCTTTAGACTTTGGTCCAGATTTCATCACCAAATCTCTAGGAATATATTCATTTGATGAGTTTAAAAATGGACAATGAGGTATAATAAGTTTTATTATTTCTAGTCGGTTTTGTGTGATAGCAGCATTGAGAGGTATGATAAAATTAATTGCTAGGTTATACTTCATTCCATAATCAATAAGCATTTTAACCATAAGATCATCATTTTGTCCAATAGCTATGAGCAATGATGCATTTAAATCTTCTTCATTAAGAGCTCCTTTTTCAATGAGCAAAGATACAGCTTCTTTTTTATGATTTTGAATTGCAACATTAAGTGGGGTGTAATAATTATGATTTCTAGCGTAGATATCTGCTCCTTCATTGAGTAGCATTTTCATGATTTCTAAGTCGTCAAACTTAATAATTGCCCAATGAAGAGGGGTATTTCCTTGTGAATCAGGAATATTAACACGAGCATTGTTCATTATTAAATTAATAATTCTCGCTTTGTCTTTTCTAACAATTGCTTCACACAGTTGGTAGTAATAACTGTTTTGTTGTAAATTTGACATTTTTTTTTTATCACTTTAACTGATACTTGCAAATTTCTTGATGCTGATGACGCTTGATTCGCCACAGAATAATAATAATTATTAATAGTAAAATACCAGATAATGAGAATTTATAATAAATAAACCAATTTTTGGTTTTGTAACTCCACTTATTGCTTTTGTATTGACACTTCAAAAAACTATGTCAGACTATTGATCAATTTTATTTACTACTGAAAGCGTATTGCCGCCATATTACTTACTAAAGTACCTTACTGACTTTTAAAACAACGAAAATGATCGGAACTACCCGAATAATTCCGGTATCTCTCGAATACCTATAAAAACAGATGATGAGAATTGTTCAAAAAGTAAAAAAAATTTATTAAAACTTGTCTGCACACTTTATAATTATTTATAAATTACAAAAGTCTTCTTCAAAAGAGAGAAACAATATAAACAATGTATAACCTATAAAATAAATTTCCATCGTAGCGTGCCAATTTGTCAATCATTCCCATCATTTGTCTGACGATTTTGGTGGAGTTTTTAAATTGATTAAGTAAATTAGTTACTCCAAAAACAATATGTAAAAGATTATTTTGAAATTGTTGATAAGTTTAAAAAATAATTAATTATGTCTTTACAATGAATTTCATTAACTACAGTAATGTCAAAAATATTAGATAAAATGTTATAAATATTATCATTTAATGAAAAGAGCTGCTTTATTAACAGCAATTCAATTTGAATAACAATTAGTTAATCATTGTCATAAAGTGATAATAAAAGAATTATTTATTCTGACTTTTGCGATATTAAAAAGATATTTATTACTGAAAAAGATTTGATGAAGTGTGGGAAGATGAATGTAATTTATTTATTCTAAACTTTTAATGAAAGTTTTATTATATTTGTTTCCACACTGCTGGAATAGATTAACAATAATAAATATGTTTGTTTATTTTCTAGGATTTTAAGTAAACAAATAAAAACAAATAAAAAATATTTAGAAACTATGTTTATTTTTATTGAATAAAAAAATCATTAAAACGATACAATAATATAAATATTTGTAATACACACATGATATGATGAACAGTTTATATATTAAATATGATGAAAAATTATGTATTGTTTAATTTAAAAATGAAAATACATGAATAATTTACAAGTCTTTTTTGGATAATGAACCAGCATTTGTTATTTCAGAATATATCTGAACCTTTTGTCTACATAATAAATTACTACAAAAAATGAAACTAAAATTTATAATATAACATGAAAATGGAGAAATAAAAAATTTAACAAAAAACCAACTTTTTGTGTAATTAAAAATTATGAAATAAGAATAATATTTTCTTATATTATCAGAATCAATCTGAGTTTTATGAAATAAATAAATTGATTAGCCATCCACTGGTTTCATGGCTAAAAGAAACATTTTCAGGTCTCCAAAATTTAAATAACTTAAAATTTTATGAGCATACTCATCAGGCATTTTTTGGTAAATTTTCTTACGAAAATATTTTTTCGCAGAATTTGTTATTTCATATCGATATTTTACATCTCGAAATCGACCACAAATAATATCGATATACAATGGATACTTTCTATCGTGATGTCTTTTTTTTAAAGTTTTTTCAATATCTTCATTGTTCATAAATCGACGTAGAAAATAATCAGGTTTTTTCAACAAGTTATCAAAAGTAATACCGGAAGTACCAATAGTTTCTTGTTTCATCTCATCAATTTCTTGCTGACATGATTCATCAAGTTGCCATATATCAATTGCCAATTCTCTTTCATTGCTAAGAGGATAATCAGGGTCATAAACTATCTTCCAATCAATGTCATTCACCTTAAATCCAGCGACGACTAATTTAACAACTTCTGTTTTTAAAATTTTTATAATTTCTTTACAATTATTCATCCTATTTAAGCGATGATTATTACCTTCGTTACATTGAAGAACTCGATATAATTCAACAGCAATTTGTAGAGCAGTTTGATTTTTTTTATCAGCACTAGTAATATTGGCACCACATTTCAAGAGATATTTAGTCATCTCAATCGATTTCTGTTCAACCGCAATATGAAGAGCAGTTAAACTCTTTAAATCAGTATGATTAGGATTAGCGTTGTAATCTAATAGACATTGCAATGCTCGCTCATTACGTGCATAACAAGCTACGAAAAGTGGTGTCCAACCTTTAGCATCTACAGCGTCAATATCGACTTTATACGCCATTAATAATTTTATAATCTCTGAATTATTATCGACTTTACAAATAATATGTAGAGGTGTTTGACCTTCATCATTTTGAGCATTTGGATTAGCTCCATTTTCAAGTAAAACTTGAACAAGTCTATAATTCTGAGCATGACACACAGAATGCAAAGGTGTTCTAAAAGTAATATCAGTACAATTAACATTTGCTTTGTACTGTAACAGTGCTGTTATAATCTGAAATTGATTGTCCAACTGAATTTTGCAAGCAACAAAAAGCGGTGTTAGTCCATCACTGTTTATCGCATCAACTGGTGATTTAAGTTTTAATAAAGTTATTATAAATTCTGCATTAAATTGGCTTTCTATTGCTATATGCAATGCAGTATCACCATTTGGACTAACATAACTGATATCAGGTTCATATTGCAGAAATAGTTGAGCAATTCTTCGATGTCCATTGTTTAATGCATCGAAAACAAATGTATTGCCTGGAGCGTGAAGATGAAAGTTTGCTCCTTTTTTGAGAATAAAATTAACCACATCATAACTGGAATCTTTTCTACCATTATTAGCATAAATACAGCTATGTAAAAGTATTTTTCCTTGGATATCAGTGAAGTTTACTTTGAGACCATGATTCAGAAATACACGAACTAATGATTCAGATCCTATCTGTGCTGCTAAACATGTGATGAAGAAACATTCTGGATCATTTGCAATTTTTGCACCGCTTTTTAATAACATTTCTGTCATTACTTGATCAGAGTTACAAACAGCGATATGTAAACAAGATATATCATTTAAAGAATACTCTACACCATTCAATAACAAAAAATGATTAAAGTCACAAATGATCTTAAAGAAATTCAGTCCATTATTCATCGTCAAATAATTAGCAGGTACTATCTCGTTCACTTGGGCTCCATGTAGTAGAAGATGTTCAACTATTTCATGATGTTTGTTGAGACAAGCAATTGTAAGTAAATTGAGTCTTGTTTTTGAGTTAACCATATTCACGTCAATTCCAAATCTTAAAAGTTGTAAAACAATTGTTTGATGACCATTTTCAGCAGCCGCATAAATAAAATCTGTATCATGTTGACAGTCTGGATGAATAATAAAATTCGAGTTTAATAATAATTGAACACTTTCTTTACACTGTAAATCAGATTTTATTACAAGTCTCTTGGGAATATATTTATTAGTTGATTCTAAAAATTGACAATGAGGTAGGATGTGTTTGATAATCTTCGGATTTCCATGAAAAATAGCGTCATCAATAAGACTGCTTATATCATCTGATGGATTGCACTGCATTCTCTGATTAATTAACATTTCAAATATTGTATGGTTATTGTTTTGAATAGCTGTCAGCAACAATTGTTTTAAATCTTTTTTAACAAGAGCTCCTTTGCGTATAAGCAATAATGCGGCTTCTGTTTTATTATTTTGTATCGCAATATGTAGAGGCTTTTGACTGTATTTATCCTTTGCATGGATATTGGCTCCTTTATCAAGTAACATGTTTACAATATCTAAATCGTCAAATTTAATAATAGCGTAATGAAGAAGAACACTGTCGTTTAGATGAGCGTCATTAATACCAACATCATGTAGTATCAAATTTATCGCTGTATTTTTGTCACTTCTCTTAATTGCTCGACGGAGAAAAAGGTGGCCATTTTGCCTTACGTGCGCCATTATCGTCGATAATTCAATTTCAAATAGATTTATTATTACCTTG